CAATCTCTAACATTCTGTGATTCTGTTAACTACTAGGTTGAAGCACTAGAATGGCTTCATAATTTGTTGTTGGCAAATCACATGGTTCATGCCACTAATGTCAAGCATATCAGAACAAACTTCAGGAAAATTATCACTTGGAAATTATGGGAAGAACTTGCTCAAAATGGATCAGGTTCTGAAGATAAGAGCATCTTTTCTTCAAAACAGTGGTGAAATACTTTACACTGAATTAATTCAAAAGTCTGTGTTTTAGGAAGACAAATCACAGCTTCATTTACTTGGTCATTCTTTAATTTCTCCCCTTCTGGACTTCTGAAATTACATGGTTGTTTGGGAAGAAGCATTAATTCTCATCTTGGCCACAGGTCAAACTTTTCACACAGAGTGACAAGGAAGAGCAGCCTCCTATGGCTGCAAGTAGCCTAGTTTCCTGCATTTTGACTTTGCACTTTCTTGCATTTTTTTCCTACAAGTTGCTGCTAAACAGGATAACAAAGCTCAGCCGACCACCGAGACCGAACCACATCAGAACTTTTTGTCGCTGAACACCGATAAAGTTGTCACAGTGAAACAATATGTACTCCTATCCTGGACATTATTTTCTAGAAGTGCTGTACCCCATCCTTACCAAGGCTTATCATCAGTAGTGAATATATGGAAGCGCTCAATAAGAAGTAAGTTACTTTTCACTTAACACTGACCCATTTACAAAAGACAATCCTTGAGAATTTCATGTGTGTTGACTGCACATCCTCCAACAAACTTCTCAAAGTGCTTCTACTGAAACTTTTTTCACGTCACGATGCCAGTGCACCACACACAGACTCACTGGAGAGAGCTGATCAAGGACAACCACAGTCAGCAAAGAGACAATTCTACTCTGTGTTTCTGTGAGACCTTCGCACAATCGTACTTGCTGGCCATCAGATGACTAAATGCAAAGCTGAAGAACAGTGCCTTGCAGATACACCATCAACATCCACATTTAAGACAAACACAGGAATCAGCAGAATCTTTTCCAAGTATTAGCAGCATTGATTCACAAATAGTTTGTGTGTCACATTCACAGTTGTGTTGCTTTGCTGCAGCCTTTCACTTAAGGCAAGGACATGACTACACAACAGAGTAACTTTTCCACCAATCTCATACCCTTGAACCCCAGTTGAGTAAAAGAACAATGCTGGCCTTTTTTAGTGAACACCATAATTTTTACCTCCGAGATTCATCTGGAGATTAACCTTGAAAGGCAAAATCTACAGCAAAGTACACATTTGTACATTTTCTTTAAGCTAAAAAGGTGAAAATATTTTATCAATGAGCTCTTCAGAAGCCACTGCTTCCCTTTTTTTTCTAGAAGAGTGCTGCATGGTCTAGTTTTGCACAGTCTGCTGACAAAGATGCTTGCAGGGGAGGTGAGTACCTATACATGATGCCCTGAAGACTTCGACTAATACGATGTTTAGGAACAAATACCATGATTAGTATACCATGGTATACCATGTCCCCTAAACTACTTGAAGGGACTCAAATGACCTTCTCTCCATATTCATGGGTTGTTTAGCAGCTATTATGTGGTTTTAGAGGTATCAGGCAACAAAGAGTAATTCTGAACATGGGATGGGATTTTTCTCTCAGTCTTCTGCAATTTCAAAATGGTAAAGCTTTGTAATAAATCAAAACATAACCTTTGGTTTTACAAGGATATAATACATGAAGAAGGGAAAGGAGCACTAGCAATCCATTCTTCATTTGCAAAGTTGAGCCTTTTCCTTCTCAAACTAGGATTTTGCATCTAAAAGCCAATTAAGAGGAAATCCCTTTTTCTGAATGCTTGAAACAAAGGTACATAGTAGTATGGAGAAGTACATAGTAGTTCACATGCTCCTGAAACAGGGTTTGAAATTCAAGAATGGCAATTGAACTCAGTCTCAGTCCTTGGGATTGCGGCATTTGGGCATGACTCAACCACCACATCTCCTGAAAAGCTGACTACAGAATCTCTTTTATCAAGCTGGATGCCCACAGGGCTCTGGAGTTACTATAGTGAAGGACCGCAGACAACCACATGGGGACTTCTGTATTAGATTCTCCACCCTCTACCTCAGGAGAAATTCAATTCAGCAGCAAAGATAAAAGAGGTTGCTTAAGGTTGTGTTTGGTTTTTTTTATTTTATTTTTTTAAGACTCAGCTTTCATCATCAGCAGACAGAGAATCAGGAGGACGGGGGCACAGGCCTGATGTCCTGGGTTAAGCTGAAACAGACTTAACTTTCTTCATAATAGCTAGCAAGAGGCTGTGTTTTGGATTTGTGCTCAGAAGAAAGCTGATAAAAAGTGATGTTTATGCGGCTGCCAAGGTCTTTCAGCTTTTCTTGCTGGCTGCAAACAGGAGAAGCTGGGAGGGAGCACAGCCCCAGTTACTAGCCCAGGCTTTGATCTTAGGTTCAGGACTGAGACCCAAAGTGGCCAATAATCTATTCCATAACATACACGTCATGCCCAGTGTATAGGTGAGGACCCTCTGGAAAATCGGCTCTTTTTTGGTTCTGGATCTCTTTTGCTTTGGGTCATCTCGCTCCAGGTGGTCGCTCTCCCAAGGCCTCCCTCCCCCCACCCCGGTCAGCTCTTGGTCTGGGACGCTCAGACTGTTATCTCCGTTCTGTGAGTGCGGTTTCAGGACTCTCCCTGCACCGGGATCGTTAGCCGGGAACAGGCTGAGCCTTGGTCATCGGGTGGGGGGGCAGTATCACTGTGTATCACTCATTTGTATATAGTATTACTTTCAATATTATTGTAGTTTAGTTATTAAATTGTCCTTATCTCAACCCATGAGTCCTTCTTTCCATCTACCCCTTTAACTCTCTCCCCTATCCTCGGGTGGTGGGGAATTGCATGAGTGGGGGTGTGTGGTTTGGCCCCCAGCCAAGGGCTAACCCATCACACCTGAATTCTGGAATCTCCAGTGAGACAGAGGATCATGACAGGAGCATTTATTGCAAGACATCTCCAACACGAAATAGAGGCCTCTAAACCTCACAAATTTCAAAACTCTGTCATGTTAAAAACAAACTAGGTAGTTTTACCACCCACTATTTTGAAATATCAAGTATGTTTCAGGAAAACTGATTTTATGACCACAGTATTTAAATTTACAGAAGTTAGAATAGAAGTCACATTCCCACACTAAAAAAAAAGAATCAGCTCTGAATTGTCTAATGTTAAATATTCACATATACCTATCCTAATAATTAGTGGTACAACATCACCTTCTACTGGATTTTAAAGTAAAATATTAGTGCTTTGGCACAACTAAATTTTATTTTCCCACTTTGAAAAACTAGTGTATACACTGTGTACCAAATGCATAACACCTGCCCAAATGCCACTTGACTTCAATGAGTTATTCAAACAGGCGACTCCAGATGCACAACGCTTTATGGTCAAGCTTTGTAAAATTATCTCATTTTCTCAGAGACAAAATGCTATACGAGTGTTGTCATACTCTTCTCCTCCCATTCAGGTACTTGAAGAAATCTGTCCTTTACACTTCCTCGAAAGCAATTTTTTTCCCAGGTGTTCAAGAACAAATTTACCATTACTGACAACAGCACCATTAAGAACAACTACATAAACAAAGTGCACCGAATCGCTATCATTAACATGTTGTGTGGACTTGCTCTGAGTTTACTATACCTCATGTTCTGCCTTTGTTAATGCACCTACTATAGCTACGTATCGGTGGAGCAGCACCAGCAGCATTTGGTCAACAGCTGTAAATTGCAGAAACACTTCTTAGTAGAGCCATTCATCCCACATAACAGCTGTATTACCATTAAAAAACATGCACTACTTTTTTCTGTGGCAGAACTTTTATTTGGAGGGAAATTATAACTTTTGCATTTACATGGCACAAATTATATACAGTACACTTTCCATGATAAGAATCATGATGCTGTTCACAGAAAGGTATCAAATTTGAGATAAATAACGCATAAGCTAAAATATACAAACCAGGGGTGGAGGTGAAACTATTGGCCATTTTTATTATCTATAGAAGAATTTCAAGGAATAATGTTAATTCAATGTTCAAAAATTTTTAACAAACTTCTAGTAAAGTTAATTGAAATATTTATAATACTATTCAGTTGTTGCACAGTATTTCCAATATACAACCAAGAAGATGCACAAAACACAACACTTAATATGAAAAAACCTATTGCACCCACAATTTAAAGGTTTCACTGCCTTTTGGATGCTGCACTACCATATTTATATAAACATTTACAACACTTCAGTAAACACAAAGGTTCTAAATGTAGTGCAGCATTACGGGGGGCCACTTTCAGCTCTTAAAATAAATGTTAAAATGCCCACGTACTGTGCCATTTATTCTAAGCTGATGGTTTAAGCTGTAACCCTTAATTCCTACTGTGAGTAGCAAACACACTTCCCCCATGTTCAGAAGATTACCATCCCTCTGACTACATGCTCTATATTCTGAGATCTAAACTCTCCTTGGCTTCATTGTCATTTTGGCGTTTTGCCTCAGTGCTTGTGACAACTATCACCTATATTATTTTTTTAATGTCCTGTTAAGTAGTCCTGTGTAGAATCTGAAGCAAAAGAATCTGCATCTTCATTATCAGAATCATCACTACTGTCATCAGCCGCTGGCTCTCCTGTCAGCGCTATCCGGGCATAATCGTCAGTGTCTATAGACTTGCAAAAGTGAATGGCATACTTCAGTTTTTCCTCTAGCACCTGCTTACAGGAATACCTGGGCAGCTTCAGGAGAAAGAAGCAAGTGTATGACTCAGGAAGGAAGTGGTCTGGAGGATTGTATTTATCCAATACCTGTTGAAAACAAAAAGCATAAGATATTTGACACACTGTCCAAACCACAAATAAATATCAGAATAATACTTGAGGTTTTTTTTTTAACAGCATGTTAGATTTCTCATTCTGATGGGAAAGTTTCTTAAAAGAACAATGAAAAGACCAAACCTATTCTCCCTACACTAAGTAAATAAAAACAGACATATATGAGCTTCTTTGATTATGAGTATGTGGTTGGGACCAAACTAAAAAAGATTATATTAGTTCAGCAAGTACTAAAATACGATTAAAAGATTGTGGGTTTTTTAATTTAGCTGAAATGACTACTGAGCTAAATTAAATACTAAATAAATGCCAACAAAAACAGTTGATGACTGACAGTGGAAAACTGTCAAAATCCAGAGAAGCAAGTGGCTGGGAAATAAAACAAATATCCACTTGCTCAAGTCAAGAGAGAAAAATATTTAGACATTTCATCGGTCTGTTGTACTGTCAAATCTACAACGTAATGTGGCATAAACAGTTTAATGAAATCAGCCTGTTCTTATGTCATGCTACTGCTCTCTACTACCAGCTTTTTAAAATAGAAATCCCAAACCCTATCCCACACTCCTTACCTGAATAACGAAGTCCCTTCCTCTAAAGTCTGCAATAGTCCTCGGCAGCCTTGTTCTGCCCCACACAAAACGCAAAAAGAGAGACCGCTCTGTATTGGAGAACGACTCCATTACTTCCCAGAACCACTGTATCAAGGAAGCAGTTGGTTCAATGCCTTTATAAGTTGCTACAGATTTCAGAAGGTGAAGTGGAATATCTGGGCTTCCACATACCTGAAAAATAAAATATAGTGATAGGTTACAAAAGTCTGATCAGATCAGTTACAGACAATTTGTTCCCTCCATTCCTTTAAAATATTTGATCAGCTTTTACACTGAGAAAACGAACATTTAAATATTTGAAGTGCTGTGCATAGCCTCCTATTACAATAATACTATATATACATCTTCCCATCAGGGGACAGTAAAGGACCTCCTTTCATATTCCTGAATCACAAAGAAATAAACATTTTACTTGGGATGAACATCTGCAATTCACCTCACAGATCCCTGTTCTGTGGGGGGTCTTGGCTTTGTTTGTTTCTTCCAGAAATAATTAATTACATCACTGCTCAGCTATATCAAAATAACCTTACTAACAACAAGAGGACAATTAACTTTTTCTAGTCTTTCCTTGGACAAAATGTTTGCAATCAAAGAGCAAGCATTGTAAATAGTATTTAACATGGGTTTTGGATTAGTAAGATACAAGTGAAGAATGTCACTCCAAGTTAAGTCTGACAGAGGTAGCAAAACAGAAATTGATACCATAGTTTCCAGTTCATATCCTGTAAAGAGTGAAAGCAGAGGAACTGGAACAACACGGGCCATCCCCTCACGAACTGCTGCAACTTGTTCGTCAAATTCATGAAGTCTGCAGAGACAAATGTTCAGAGTTTCTATGAATGCCATTTCTAGCAATTATTTCTAGTAAATATTGTAATACCAAGGAAAATTCAAGCATTCTCCTCAAGTCTCCAGCTATGTGCTAAGGAACATTAATAAACATTTATCACACACGACACTTGACTTATACCAGTTTCTACACCAATTCATATTGCACAGCAATCTCGGTATGAAGAGATACTTCCCAATGTTTAGGATATTTCATTTCCAATATTATTCACATGCTGTGCCTGGCAGGAACAAAACACCACCTCATTTGGAGACAACATGCTCTTGGGAAAAGAACAGCTGTGCTTTGAAACTCTGCCCTCAAACATTCCCAACACCAGACAGACATTATGGTAAAAGAAAAATGGGCCTGAACTAAAACATGATGTTGGAAGACAGGAGTTGTTGTATTTCAAGACAGATACAGATAAGTCTAACACTCTGCTGCTTCTGCTGCCACCCCTGATTTGTGTTTCACTTTTTTTTTTCCTGTCAAATAATTTCTGAGATGTTTTACAGAGCTCTCCAGAGTAGAGAGTCATATCATTGACAAGTCCTGTTCTCAGGCTTGTCATCACCAGAATAAACAAAGATGTCAGGACAGACTTGGTCTTATGCATCCACTTTTTCATATAGATTCTATTCAGGTGCTATTTTTTCTCTCAATGGCTTTGTAGAACTAAAAAACTTGATTCTTAATCTAAACATTTCAATGTTTCTCCCAAAGGACTTTTAACTGTAAATGCTTTAGAACTGCTCATGCCCTTTGAGGACAGCCAGAACTGTCAAGAGAACAAAATCATTTTTTCAGAGGAATCTAGCATTTTATACAGATGTATCATTCATCCATTCCAAATGGAATTTCTCTTTGCTGTCAATAACAGATTTAAGTAATGATTCATAACTACTTATAGAAAAAAAATTAAACAAAGACTGTAATTCAAGTAGTTGTTGGCAGACACTAACTACAAAGTAATATACACTATATACTTGCCTATGATACAGTCTTGCTCAAGCACTATCTAGAACAGTTAACTACGGTGGAGAGAATAAAACAACTATGAATCTGTTTCTCATCCAAATTATCTAAATTTCCATAGTTCAATAGGCACTAGGCCCACTGCTTCACATAATAAGATACCTAGGGTTGCTTCTTAGATGTACTTGTTTAGATTAGCCATCTAAATACTTAAGTAGTCAAAGGCCTTTCTTCTCAAATACTGAACAATTATTTCCCACCGATTTCAGTGCAATGTTCAGCTTCGGGTACCTGTGGGTGAACTTATTGTATGCATACAGGTCTCAGACTTATTTTATGACGTTCAGGGAATTAATATTTTTTTGGTTTGTGTATTCCAACTTAGGTAAGAATATAATAAGAATTCATCCGGGACTGCTCTTGACTGCAACTGATTATATCAAAAACTGTGGGAGCAGTAGTACTAAGTCTAAACTCTCTTCACAAAGAACTTAATGATCAAGCCTACTATTTTATTGCACAGAAAACCTAGTTGGATGGGGCATTTCTCCACCTCTAAAACTTGCTGCCAAAACTGTTCTGTCAGGACAGCTATAAAAATCTAGAGCCAGACCTGCTAGTTTGTTTCCTAAATTAAGTTTAATCTTTTCTCCTTGAAGAGATTAAAAGAAATCAGAAATCAACACTGTAATAACATGAAAATATTAAAATACTTGTAAATAAGAGGTTAAAGTAGTACATTGTTTAAAAGCTTTTACATATTTTTAAAAAGAAAATACTTATCCATGTCAGTAATTTGAATGACTTATTCAACAAACCTGTAGTTTATTGCCAGCCGCACATATTCAGCTCTATTATCCAGTGTAATGTGGGTGTACTTGGAACTCAACTGAATATCTTGACCACTGGCATTAGGCACAGTGAACGGGAGGCTCATAGCTTCAAACTCTTCTGAAGTAGCTTCATTGTCTCGAATGTACATAAGCCCAGGAATAAAATCTTTATCAACCTTTTGAAAATAACAAGCCCAAGTTAAAGCCAGTTTACTAGCACTATACAATAGCATCTCTTGCATACCAAAAGCAGTGCATCATATGTTGTCTACTAAAAGCATTATCAAATGTCTGACCACAATCCATGTAACTAAATTTCACAGCCATAAAATCAGTATTTTACACAAAATTTTATTATGCTGGGATGTGGGAGGGTGCATGTGTTCTACATTCCAATTGTTGTAGGGAACATTTGCCAAGAAACTGTATTATATAAGAAAACGGATTTAAAGCTTAAAAACATAATCACATCTACAAAGTCCAATGCTAGTTTTGGAACAAAAGGAATCCCCTTACTGACAAGCAAATGACTCAATGCTTTTTACAGTAAGGACATTTCTACGTGACAGTATTTGAGAAGGAACTCTTCCTTGTAATAAAGACCTAACTCTTACTTCACATTTACTGAACTCAATAAACAGAAATTGAAAGTTTGTGATGTCTAATATGTGGGCACAAACATTTTCAGTAGTAGTTTGGACTAATTTTCCTTTCCTTCAAAACCGTGTAGGTGCGTGCACCCAATCAGTTACTGCATCTTGGCACAAGAGACAGTAACAGCTGCAGAAAAGTCTACTGGAAAGTAGGAGTTTGACCACAAACATCTGTTTAATCAAACCCACAAGAAGATTTGAGAATGCTCCAGAATTCAGATAGCTTAACTACTTCTGAATGACTTAAATTTACAGTTTTAACAGTGACTACAAGTCATCCTTATCCACTGTCTCAAAACGTAAAAGGCCAGTCAAAACACAAGTATACAGAAAACAGCCAATAGAAGCTAATCACTGGAGAAAAAATTATGCTGGAGTCTGCTTGTCTTCTATAAGTTATATCCTACTCAGAAATTTCATAATTACCTCACTGAGATCAGCAATTGTTAGGTTCATTCCTGCAAGCTGTTTCCATACTGGCTCAGCCAGGTTGAGGCTCAGAGGGCTGCCAGTCCGGATAGCAATGCCCAAAAGTACACCTGTAAGTTCAAGCATAATATTTAAATTTTTTTATTTGTTAGATTCCTGATATTTTGATCACATAACGCAAGCAGAATGTCACAGTGTTGCTATGAAATTACCAAGAAAACGGAACATGTTCATATGCAAGAGTGACTTGGCAGCAGGATTTAATAGGAAACAATCTCTGTTTGCTCCAGATTCATCTCTTCCATTTGGTGTCACAATTAACAGAGGGGTCAGCCCATTCTGAAGCTCCTCACACATTTCTGCTATTGATTCACTATAACCTCCACCACAATCATCCACAGATTCACCTTGGAGAAGAAAAACGGTTCAAAATTAAATGTTGTTTCGAAAATAAATGAAGTATTGAAATAAATTGTATTTCGTTCCACAAGGATGACTGAGAAAACAAAAGTTGACTGAAAGCTACATGGTCATATCTGTTCATATGAAAACTCTTTGTTTTGCTTTATGTTTAGATATTTCCAGTTCACTGTAAATCATATTATTTAGAAGATTATACAACATATCACAGTGTCAAAAATACTATTTTGCCAGAGTGTAACTAACATTTTTATGTTATACACCAATGAAAATTATAAAATAGAGGTAGAAAAAGAAAGTCAAAGCAACATGATTCCTAAGTGACATTTTAAAGTAGATATATTTTATATATCTTAAATACAGGAGACAGAATGGCTCTCCAATCTAAAAGACTTTTCATCAGAAAGCTCAAAGTGATATGTGAATTGTAAAAACAACTCTACCAGTAAAACCAGCTAACCAGGATTATTTACCAATTCAGACAGCTGAAAAACAGGTTTAGGTTTTGCAGAATGTTTGTTGTGAGCAGAAGAGTTGCCCCTGAAATTTGAGGACAATTATGGACAAATTTCCACCAATCTTGAGATTTTTTATAAAACCATTTAAAAAGGCTTTTTTACTTCCTAACATTTCAAACACCTTCCTCAGCCTACACACATACATTGTTTTCCTATATCCCTCCCTTCCTTCAGGTCCTCCACAAAAGTGTATTTGAAGAAAACTGTAAGGTTAACAGCAAAATAGGTGGGGAGGTGGAAAATACTCTTACCAACAAACTTGACTTTCCAAACACGATGAGGAAGCAGAAGGCTATCAGGGCTAAAGGAACTCATTTTAGCACACATCTGTCCAAACACTGACTTTGTACCGTCAGGCCCAGCCAGTCCTCCTTTACTCCTAGAACGTTTCACCTATTGAGTAAGCACATTACAGAAGTCACTGAAAGAACATATTTCAGCTGGCACTGCTGTGCACGTCAGACCACAAGCTAATGTTAATAAAATACTAATGTGTTCAGTGCAACAATTGCAGAGGTCCACAGTGTATCTTGTATATATGTGGCACATACAGAGGAAGAACCAAATTTCAAATTACAGCACTACAGTACTTTTCAGTACCATCTAAAATCCATCCCTAGATGTAGATATCATAGACTCCTATTACATATCCCAATCCTCTCTAGGAGGATGAAAGCACTTAAAATCTCAGGCTCTTAGGAGCCCAGAACTATTGCAGAATCACATGATGGTTGAGGTAGGAAGGGAACTCTAAAGGTCACCTGGTCCAACCCCTTGCTCAAGCAGGGCCACCTAAAGCTACCTGCCCAGGACCATGTCCAGATGGCTTTTGAATATCTCCAAGGATGGAGATTCCAGTCTCCCTGGGCAGCCTGTGTCAGTGCTCAGTCACCCTCACAGTGAAAAAGTGTTTCCTGATGTTCAGAGGGAACCTCCTGTGTTTCAGTTTGTGCCTGCTGCCTCTGGTCCTGTCACTGGGCAACACTGTAAAGAGCCTGGCTCCATCTTCTTTGCATCCTCCCATCAGGTATACAATAATATACATTAATGAGATACCCCCTGAGATTTCTCTTCTCCAGGTTGCCAGCTCTCTCAGCCTTACCTCACAGGAGAGAAGCTCCAGTCCCTTAATGGACTCTCTCCAGTATGTCCGTGTCTCTCTTGTAGTGGGGAACCCAGAACTGGACCCAGTATTCCAGGTGTGGCCTCACCAGTGCTGAGTAGAGGGGAAGGATCAACTGCCTTGACCTGCTGTGGGCAAAACTCTTCCTAATGCAGCCCAGGACACCCATTAACCTTCTTGGGGGCAAGGGCACATTGTTGGTTCATGTTCATCTCGGTGTCCTACAGGACATCCAGGTTCTTTTCTGCAAAGCTGCTTTCCAGATGGGTTACCCCCAGCATGTACTGGTGCACGGGGTTGTTCCTCCCCAAGTGCAGGACCTTGCACTTCTCCTTGTTGAACTTCTTGAGGTTCCTGTGAGGCCATTTCTCCAGTCCATCGAGGTCCCTCTGAATGGCAGCATGACCCTCCGGTGTATCAGCCACTCTTCCCAATTTTGCATCATTGCCAAACTTGACAAGGGTACACTCTGCCCCATTGTCTGGATCATAAATGAAGATGTTGACCAGGACTGGACCTAGTATTGACTCCTGGGGTACACCACTAGTTACTGGCCTCCAACTAGATTTCATGCCCCTGATCACTAATCTGAACCTAGCCATTCAGCCAGTTTTCAACCCACCTCACTCTCCACTCATCCAGACCATACTTTGTCAGCTTGTTTCTGATATAAAAATAGGACACACCTAAACATTATGGAGAAAGAGTTACTGGTTCCAGGATAGGCTGCACTGCATCTTCTGCGACAGATCCTATCTCTGTGACATAGCTGTTTAACTGTCAGTGATTACGACGATTACCACCATTTATAAGCACTGCAAATTGCAGTACCTTGGTATCGGAAGAAATTTTTCAGCTAGTGCTTGGATTGGCGCAAGCATGAAAAATAGTATCTGGTTACCTGGACGCTTCCACTACATGTCCTGAAGTGACCTGATAATGCTGCATGATTGTTCTAGGTAACTTCTGCGACCTGACATAGTTATAACTACTTGAGACAATCTTAGTTCAAACACAGCTGACCACAATGATGATGATTATTTTTTTTAATTGAAACTAAAAATTTGGAGGTTAATTAAGCCTTAGAAATTTTACTGTTAGAGCTGGTAACATGCAAAAACAATAGGTGTGTTCATTGCAGCTATACAGAATGATTCTTCACAGTTCAGTCGACAACCCTATGGCCTTTCTTCCCTACATAAGGAATTTTATCTTCCCCCAACCACCAATACCTTACTTATCTTTAACTTCAAAGAGTTCATTGCTCACCTGTCTCTACTCAGCATTATATCTGTTCATCTTTAAAGGAAAATGGAAAGACAGAAGGGTATCAATGATAAAATTTGTTGATAAAAAGGTATTCTTCCCCCATTTCTGAAGAAGCAGCCAATGCCTTAGTAAATTTCGTTTTTCTGGATTGCAATACACATTTTAGCTTTTTATTGTAGAGCCTGAGAGCACAGCATCTTACTCATGTTTCCAAATCATCCTTATTGAATACATACCTTACTAAGATTATGCAGCACCTCAAGTTTTAAAAATACAGTCTCAGCCTTCTTGCTGATGAGATAACTTTTAGCATAAAACAAGTTAATATTCTGATTAGACCTCAAGAAGGAATTTCAGAAAACAGTCTACCATCAGAAGATATTAGCTTGTGGAAAACCAACTTTTCTTGGAACACAGAGACATGCAGCAGCTCAAAAGCAGCATACAGTGAAATGTGAATGAATCAGGTTCAAGAACTTGTATCAGTGAATAATCACTTACTGGGAGCAGAACCATCACAACAAAGAGGGGGAGGTACTCAAGTCAATCTGTAATCTGGTTAAAGCATTCTGAAATTATGAAGACCAAAAATTTTTCCTTCTCTAAATCTGAAGAACACAACTTTATATTTGTCCCAAGCAGCCTGAGAGTACATACTGAAACACTGGCCACTCTGTGGAACTCTCTCCAACCAACCAGAACTTGAGAGCAACAGTACATCAAGCCATGCACTCAGAGACCAATAAAAAAAGTTTAAAAAAAGATGACAGCTTAATAATTGGAATCAGCTAAGAAAGAGAAGTAGGTACTGTTAACAAAGACAACAGATCTGTGAACAAAACAAACACAATTCAAGGGAAAGTAATGAAATTAATCTCCAGAAGAGTCAGAGAAGTACCAGCATGAAAATTACAAAAGCACAGCCTCACTTGTACCTTGAGGTTTCAGTTATCTATGCTCAAACTGAAATGCTACAGAAAAAGTACAATATAAAAAGATGAGTAGAGAAAGACTATTCTATAAGAGCAGACCAAAAAAGCTTAGCCAGACCAATGTAGGAAAATGAAGGCTGTCATGAAATTAGTGTTCTTTAAAAGCACACTTGTTGAGGGAGAAGACAATAACAGGAAAGAGGAATGTTATTTAAACTGAAGTATAACACTCACAGAAGAACAAATCATTCATTCATTGATATGTTGTGCCTCCTTTAAGATCAGATAATTTTTAATCATCATGCTAGTGAGATTTCTGTAACCCACATTTAATAAGGATCCCTAGTGAGGAGGAAGAAACTATTTTTAAAGTGGGATTTCATATATCCATAAGTGGGGCATTCCCTCCATGACATCAGAGAACACTGAACCAGGAGACCCTTTGCAATATTACATTCCTGAAAGCAGATACTCTAATTAATAACGGAAATTTGTTTCTCTTTTAAAAGGAGGAAATGCCTTTCAACTGTTCTAATAATCTCTTTCATCTAAAGGAAAGATATGATTTAACAGCATTACGAAAGTGTCTGCCTACAAGTCATAACATACTGTCCATTTGGCACCACATGAGCTACACTGGTACTTAAATACAAAGTAAATCTGATCTGCTAGTGACAGGATCAGTAAGTAAACTTGAGCACCAGAACCTTGTCTAGACATGTAACTGTTGGTTCACTTTATATCTCAGTCTTTGACTACTTCTATTAGACCTTTCCAGAACTATGCCCAGGTGCTGTTTCGGAACATTTCACTTAATGACCGTTCCCAGAATGAATATGGATAAAACTGTGTCACGTTGGGTTTCTTCTGCCCTATGCAGTCCTCCAACAGTGTCCCAAATTGTCTCTGTGCATTCAAGCTTGCCCTCATACTACACTTTAAAGCATAAAACATCTACTCTCAATTTTATGCTACAGAAATACCAGGCTGGCTCTTGGGTGAGTTGCAGTAGGGCCATCACATTGTATTTCACACACCTTGAGCAAGAAAAATACATAAAACTACTGTGTCCTACAATTACAAGGCTCCCAACAGAAAAGATCTAGGGCCAAGCAGTAAGGTCAATGTGATCTACTCTGAAGGAATCTGGTCCATGTAAAACTTGACCTGAGGACAAGGGAGTGGTGTTTGGCCTGCTTTTACACTGCAAGTTAGAGAGCTGTTACATCCAGTTCTGGTACTTCCAAAGAAATCACTGAACAAGGTAAACTGAGGAACTATTTTTTTTTAAAAAAGTCAGTATCTGGAAAACAACTTTAAATTAAAAACTCATCTATTTATTTTATATGAAGGAAGATGATCAAGTGAATCCATCACCATATAATATATAAACTGTAACAAGAGTCTTCTGAAAGTAAAGGGATCTTAAAGCCTAGCTGCAGTAAAACTCACAACTGCAAATAGGATGAATATTCTTAACATTGACAATTAGCTGTTTGAGACTACATAAAGCAGCTTTGAATCTTCAATTAAATATTACAAAGAATCAAACAGTTTAAGAATTCACATTTTCATTCTCTGCAAAAGCTAACTCAAGAAATTGTGACCAATACTTGGTACTGTATAATCAGGCCAGATTGTGAACACAGTCTATTTTAGCTTTCACTTGGCTAAATTTAGGACAGACTTGTGTTACAGAAATATTTAATTTCCCCCAGAAGTTATGTAGAAGCCCTGCAGCTACCAGTTCTTTTCTAGAGTTCAAGACGGATTCAAGTGATGAACTGGAGTACAAGAGAAAGCCTATCTTAATTAATTAACTTAATAGTAGAAGAGGAACACTAGGAAATGAGCCCAAAACCTACTCACTAGCTTCCTGCTTAAAGTTAAATAGTAGTGCTGCTTTATTGAATGTTCTGAATTCACACACACACAAAAAGTAACAAGAAAATCTCTGGCACTCTCTTCAGCTTCAACTTCACAAGTAATAAACTAAAACAACACATTTTAATTGCATAAGATTATCACAAGAAATTTTAAATGCCCATAGACAACGGCAAAGAAGCAGAAACCAGGTCCAACCACAACAGGATGTACTTCTGTTCACTAAGAGAAAACTAATCTCTATTCTAACCTTACCAATAGTAAGTTTTCCTACTTTTTACAATATACAAAAAAAAAAAGAAAACCATCACTAAAGGAAAGAAATGCATGAAGATTAACACCAGGCTTCAGTCCATTTAAATGAAAACAATGTTTTACTATTACATGTTACAGAAGTATTTATGGAAAAAAAAGACATATCTGGCCTAAGGCACATTACATTTTCTAACGTCAATGATAAGGAAAAAAGCCCTTTTGTATCAAAGAGTTCTGCAATCAATATGACCACATGTGATGACCAGCAAAGGACAAGAATTTATCAGCCTGATTTTTCGTTATATCAAGGGCTTTTTTTTCCTGTTCTCCTTCCACCCAACCCCCATTTCATGTTCTCTGTTTGAAAGTTAAAGCTGAATAATTCACCTGACCATTTTGAAAGGTGAGAAAGGCATCAGAATCACTTCTCTCTTAAATTATCTAATGTAGTGAGTTTTTAAAAAGCAGTCCTTTGTCAAGAAGGACATACTTTGCTCATTAGAGTCTAAAACATTCACTTAATATTTCAAGAAGTGTCCCCCTCCCCCTAAACAACTACAATGTAGACAAAAACATACTGAAAAGAAAAACGAGCAGCTCTTGCTGCATTCACATCTTCATTCTTTCATTCTCATAAAAATTCAACTCTTCAGGACTAAGAAACAGCTGAAACAAAGGGAGCTGACAAATGTATATCACTACGGGCTAAACATGCAGATACTAAAATCAAAATTTCAGCTTAAGATACCTGTATTCTGTTGAGCTCTACAACTGGCCCATGCTGACGATCTCTCACCATAGTTGCTTGTACAACTTTTCTGAAAGCTGCCTCCTAAAAAAGGAAAATATAAAAATATAAAATAGTGGCAAAACTGCAATCAAATAAGAAAGCTGCACATATTTCACAGACAAACACATACTTAGTTCAACTCAGGAAAAAAAAAATTACTCTTCAGCAGAATAGAGAACTGATCCTGCAATACTAACCTTCAGCAATTTCCTTCTGAGTACATCACAAAACACTAGAAAAGGCATAACGACTCTGAATCTTTCTTTAGAAGAAATGGAAACAAACATCAAATACTTTTTAAATACTAAAAATAAACAAAAGCAACAGAAGACAAAACTGTGAGATGTTAGTATTCAAGTCTAAAACAGTCAGAATACTAAAAAAATAAAGAAGTCTCTCCTGTATCACTCAAAACCATGGCTTGCAAGGTTATACTGCACCCAGATTCAGTTATTAAGAAGTAACCAACATGCCACTGACTGTAGATATACAATAGTTTATACCAGAATAATACATGTGTATGGGGAATAATTAATGTCAGGAAAAAAAAAGGCAATGCCATCTTGCTATGGAAGGCAATAAATAAGCAACAAATAAAAATAACAATAATAAAAAAACTTTTCATGGAAATTCAAGTATCTGAGGTTCTCTCTCAAAATACTTGGATCAAATTTTACACTGCCAGTTTCAAGCAAGTTTTAAAAAGATTTAAGTCTTTAGAATCTCTGAAGGTGAGCCTGACTTAAACGCCTAAACATGAATATGGCCTCGCAACTTCTGGTGTCCCTGTTGAATGCTTTTGGCGTAACATATGCCTGATACATCACATTTCATCTTATATCTGAAGCCTTTCTGTAACTGTCTGCAGACTCTTAAAGTAAATTATGTTGAATGTGCCTCCCACACACCCATTCCTATAGTTAACATCACATACCTAAAGACTCCCTATTGATAGCACTAACATATGAAAGTATCATAAACAGAATAGCTAGGATTTCCCTTAATTTTTTTCCAATTTTAGTTTTGATGAAAAATGTGTGGTCTTCTCTTGGTCTGTGAAGCTTGTTATTTTGCTGGATTGCTCTAACACACGATTTTATTGAAGTCTCAAGAAAAAGACTTTGACAATACATGCTAAGGAGTCTAGTTACAGGTCCTGTATCTTATTTTAAGGACGCAGAACACCACTGCAGAGGGAAACTTAACTGCTTCTCTTTTCAAAGATAGCTCCCAGTAGATTTTGTCTCCTCATATAAAGTTTTCGGTTTTTGTTAGACAAGTTACTATGACAGTGAGAAAATTCAGATCCAGAACTGATGAGTATACTAAAGGCAAGTCATGTTTTTAAAGGTTTTCCACATCTGAAGATCTGAATAGCTGTTGTAGCCTTCAAGCATTATAAAATACCTAGATTTTCTCACGACTGACTTTGCTTACAAAATATAAAAAATCCACTCTCTTTACCAATTTGAGACTAAACTCCTATGTACTCTGTCTTTACTTTTAGCCCAGTCTAAAACAATTTTGTACCTGCACAGAGCTTTGGATCAACTAGTGTATCACCTGATCATGACAACTGACATACAAAAGCAGACAATGACCATTTCACACCTATCTTACATTTTTCCCCAGGAAAGCATCTACTGAATATCCTACAAGAACTCAGCTAAACTAAAAGCTGAATATTTACAGCGTAAAGTTATTTTTAAGATCAACACACATGAGCACTATGATGAAGAACTGGGGAAAACATAATAAAAAGAACACACAAAGAAAGAAGCTTGCATTACCAGAATGCAAATATTTGATATACAACTTATACGACAAATTGAGATATATAGATCTATTTTCTTCAGAAATAGTTCAAACAGTACATTTCACTTACAGTTACAAATCACTCCCTTAAAAACATTCTGATTAATACCTTTCCCTGTGATATCAGTATTCCCCGCAATGTGTCAAACCCAACTGAGGGTCCTTGGCCAGTTTCATCAAGTCTTCCTTCAAGATCAAACATTGGAATGCAAGGACAGAAGAGTTCAGAAATGTGATGCAACAGCAGAAGCCTGTTTCTCAATGAAATGATGGGAATTTCCTGCAGATGGTTGTACTCCATAGGAACCTATGAGTAGGCAATGATATCCAATGTAATTAGAATTATTATATACTTTATTTTATGAAACAGAACAACAATTTGTAAGATTTGTAGGTAAATTTGTATTAGAAATTCAGATATCTGTTTATTCACACTGTCAAAACTTAATATATGGAGTTCCATTGTTTACAGAAGATACTAACAGCATCAGTTTAAACTGAAACAAGTATTAGAAACATGACAGACTATTATTGCCATTCCATATTTTACAATTCTCTTTATCCATAAACAGACACATTTTACATCCGGTCATCACTACACCCAGGCAGTAGAGCTAAAATACAGAATATTCAAAAAACAATCTTAACGTAAAGCAAGCAATGAAGAACTCCCTAGGAAGGCAGAAGATTTTCATAGCTGGAACACAGAATTAAAAATCCTACCAATTTGCAAACTCAGTTACTATTCTGCATGGGATTAACAACTGAATGAAGAGTCTTAGCACCTCAGAGAACTGGAACCCTTCTTCGGAAATATGGAAGTAAAACAAAGTAAGCACACTGAATTTATGCAGGGATTTAGAAAGGAAATACATCTACTGAAAGTTCAGCAATAAGCATAGCAAGTATGTTTAAAATCTGTATGCAGCAAGTCAAAAATATTACCTGTGTAGGGAGCTTGCCAGCATTAGCAGGTTTACTGGTTGACCAAGCTAAAGTATGTGCTGAGCCACAGGCCACCCTGTTGATCTTTTTACCCTGAAGTGCTGCAACCAAGCGTGGTCTTTGGATGGCATTAGTTGTTCCATCTCCAAGCTGCCCTTCATCATTATCTCCCCATGTATACACTTCCCCTAAACCAATAAAAATAATTAATTGTTCTGAAGCTAAGATAGAAGCTTTTTGCCTTTTTTTTTTTTAATTAGCATTTATAAATCATTTAACCGAATGAGGCCTTGGATTGTAATCAAGATTTCTGGGATTGATGGCCATCCTGAAATCCACTATCGAGTGCAGTTAAATCTTGAATGACACGGTTAGGCTCATGGTCTACATAGAGCAGCTGGTATAAAATGTATTTATTTCCTCACAGCTTGTATAACTTAAAAGTTCTGTTCCACAACAGGAAGAAATGGTGGAACAAACAAAGAACAACAGATACAACAGAAACTATATTTTACAGTTTCATAGCAAAAAAAGCTGATATTAAAGAAAGAATTAGAAAAGGCTTAATATTTTGTACAAGACAGAAGAAAAGATTCTCTAATAGGTTGTATTACTGAAGAGAACACTAAAATCGGTGGTTACTGTTGCAAGATAATTGGAAAATACTTTTAAAACAGCAACCTTGTTTCTGAGCATTCATTTTCTGCAGCTATATCCCATTTCACTAGCACCTATAAAACACTCAGTTATTGTGCAGACTTGTTAATTAAATGTAGGAGTGACTCTGCTACAAAGAATATTCAGTATGTCAGCCTGCTCTGTAAGAAGCCATATTGTTTGTGCAGTGCTTCATTTAGCAAGTTAAACACCTCAGCAGGCTCAGAAGATGTTGTAAAAAAAAAAAAGCCAAATCCATTTATTCTACTGCTTGACCATCTGTAACTACTTTTAGAGCTCTATATTGTGGGGTTTGACCATCAGCATGTATGAAACTTAAATTCCTTTTATTCATTAAAACCCTTCAGATGGCTTTATGTGATCATTTTAAGTCAATGACATGCTTGCTGCTCAAGAAAAATGCAACATCTGCAAACACAAAATATGTCCATGCACATCGAGGACCAGCATTTATTTTTAGCAAGGACAACCTACCAACAGCTGACTGAAAAATAAAACTTTTTTTCAAATTCAGTACTGAGAACTAAGTAAATTTTGATACCATCTTCAGTGCAGCAAACACAGTGCAAAGACCCAGTAGCAATTGCAATGACTTTCTTTCCTTGCAGTCCCTGCACTTGGCGTGGTCTTCTAACATGGTCATCAGATCCATGGCCTAACCGATGATAATCTCCTTTGCCCCTGTACAGAGAAGGTAAAACATTTCAAAACTGTGTTTTAGTTGTGCAAAAAAAATGGAATGACAGACTGTCTCTGATATTTGGCCTGTACATGTATTTATAAACAGTCCAATACCAAAATATTTTCAAAATATTCAATATTAATCATCCCAAGCTTGTACGACATGGACGTGATACTGCTGATACAGTAAAAATTCTTAAACCTCCAATATGCTGCTCCTACTTCTTTTGTGTAGGTCCTTATGCCACTTTTGGAAGGGGTTGTTTGGGCTTTCCTCTTAAAAGAGACAAGTAATCGAAGCATTCATCTGCAAAACCAGTACCTTTACTGACCTCAGAGACTGGTACTTTGTACAGTTTAAGGGTATCTCTAATGCCACGCAAACAAGGGGGTAGTAGGATGTTGGGAAGGTATTTTGTTTAGTCTTTTTAAACACTTAAGTCTAGTAGTTTAAACTACAAAATTTGTAATGGTGCAGGAAGATTAAAGCAATGAACTAAAATCGAATTCCTGGACTACAGCCACCACAAGCTAGACACAATTTTGATGATATATGAGAATGTTATTTATGCTTTCATCTTCCACCCTGCATGACACTTCAGGCTTATACTTCTACCGACTTCCTTGGAACTTCTGCATCTTGCAGTGGTCAATGCCTGGAATGACAGCTCTGTGCTTAGGTCTCCAACACAAAATACTGTCATTTTTAATTTAAATAGCACTATAAAATGTTCCCCAAAGTGGCAGATTTTATTATGAATCAAGACAGAGAAAGTAAAAAAAGTCTTTGATGGGGTGGGGGGGGGGCAGATATCAAAACAGTGAAGGCAGTATAACACTAATACATGTTGCAGACAAGGTTACATCTAACACTGTCAAACTAACTAACACAAAATACTTACCACGTAAATACTGCTCCAGATTTCGTAAGAGCCACAGAAAATTGTGATCCACATTCTACTTTAACCACTCCAAGGCCTGTGAGGGAATCAATCTAGGACAATAATATCAAATTAAATAAAAGTTAATTAAGGATGCTATAGTTTCATAGACTGCACTGTCTTAAGTAAAATATAATGTGCAAATGTCTAAGTGTCTCTATGTATATCTATAAATTAAAATGTGTATGTAGATAGTTTAGCAGAATTCTACTGGAACCAGACATGGTGTTCAAAGAAAAAACCTTCAAGTGCAACTTTAACAGTCAGCACAAAATTTAAACACTCATCATTGTAGCCTACAAGGTTCATTCTTAACAACAATCAGAAGAATCCTGATGTCCCAGGATGGGTGGAAGTCTGCACATATTGACAAATCTGTCTTCAGCATTATCCATCAACCTCATGGTTTCTAAAACAAAACAAAAATTACATGCAAATACCTTCATTGGTACTTTACAGCCATCACTGCCTCCTCTCCCAAGTTTTCCATAATCTCCATCACCCCAGGACCAGACTGTATCATCATCAGTCAGGCACAATGTCTGCGCATCTCCGCTGCCACAGGCTATGTCAATCACACGGTAGCCCTGGAGAGCTTCCACCTGTAAAGAAATCACCCACCTTTGTTCACAACAAAAGACTCAGTCATTTAGTTTCAGAGAAGGTGACAAACCCAACTTGGAGAGGTGCTTCACTGGAACTACAAGTCCAGTGCAGTAAGATGCATAAAGATGCAAGTTGCAGTAAGATGCAAATAAAGGCAAGTCAAAGGGCTTTGCTCTTTTTAAACTAGCAAAATGAAAATGAACTATGTATTTTAAATACCAGATTACTCTTTTTAATTGGTGAACTAGTTAAATTTTTTTGACCCAAAAAGCCAAAGAAGACAATTCATACAAACCACGTAATGTAATCACAGACTATATTCTGTTGAAATAATTTTAGGCTCTCTGGGTGAGTACTGTATACAGCAAGAAAAAAGTCTTATTTTCAAATATTCTTACTAGGTTACAATTTTATAGCATTTGCATCATAAACTGAATTTAATCAACGTCTTTTGAAATGCTACCATCTAGTGATGAAGTATGGGATTTGAATTCGCAAAGTAAAAGGATTGTGACTCACATATATCGCATCCTCCCCATCACCACCCCTACCTCAAATAGATTATAAGTAGCACAATCCATTACCCAAAGTAGCATGGAACTTCACATATTTCCAACTTTTCTACATATTACCTATTTTCATACCAACCAAGAACATGGAGGAGGGAAAGATGTACAAAGATGTAGAGGAAAGGTGGGCAGACCCTGTTTTTTGGGGGGACAGGGGAATAAGAACATCTGGATACAGGTGATAAGATCCCAAAGGGGACTAGGAATGTCCTACAAATTAAGGTACTTAATGGTTGCATGAACAGAAATATATGCACAGAGCTATGAATAAAAATGACAAACTAACATTAAGTTTGATTCAACTAATGTAATCTTAGCCTTTCCTGTATTTTGAGCAAGATAACACAGGTAGCAAAATGGACTATTATTTCAAAGGCAGTTTTCTTAATACCACTATTCTAACTTAAAGTTCTTACAGTCTAGTTCACAAGAGTACAATGGTCTGAATTACACCTTGTCAGCTAATCAACATACTCATTCTTCCTAGATTCAATACCATCCAAGTTGTCAGATTTGCTACTTAAGAATCAAATGGAAACAGGTATCTTCTTCATCAATAATTGCTTAGCTCAAATTTCTTTAGCAAGTAGCAATTAAACACTTCATAACTTGTTAGGTTAAATTCTTATTAACTTTGTATATATTTCAGTAACATCTCAGTATTCAATCATGAGAATTAAGACTATAATTACAATGTCAGGGAAAAAAAGCAGTTTGCAAGTTCTCAGTGGCTATCACCGTAATCACTGGTATATTTTCCAAGAAGTAAACAATGAGGAGACCAAGTAGGCAAGGAGCTCACTTGTTATTTTCAATGTAAACTACTCTTGTGAAGGTGTGGAATTTACTTATTGGGGGGTAGGGTGTTTAATTTGGGGTTTTCTTTAAGTCTTCTCTAAAACAAATTCTTTATAAGCTGTTTAGTGACTTCCGCCAAAGTTTTGCAGCTCCACTTTCAAGTTATTCTTCCAATCCATTTCTGTTTCCTAAATCAACTGTTCATTTCTTACAAACACATGCTACCATTTTGCCCTTTCATTCTTTATACACAGAAATGCAAAGGTACGAATCACAACTGGAGCAGGACTGTAGAGAACTCCAAAGGTTTCTTACCAGTTTAGGTTTTAGTTGGTCCTCACTATCTCCATGCCCAAGGCGTCCATATCTTCCTTTTCCCCATGTAAAAAGGTCTCCTGCAGCTGTAATACATGCACTGTGTGCTCCCCCTGCAGCAATATCAACCACTTCTATACCTCTCAGAGATTCAATTACACGAGGACGATCACAAGGGCTGAAATGAAAATATTCATCTTGACAAAACTTTTAGAATAAACTATTCATGTTCACCAATATATGGAGAGACGTTTTTAAAGTTTGTATAAGGAGACTCAAAATAACCAAGTATTTGCTTTTGTTACAGCTTAATATCATGAAAATTTATGTTTAATTAGTCATTCAGGAATATTTTTAGAGGCCTATAAAAGCTGTACGTATTTTACCATATGTTATCCTACAGCATTACAGGTAAGCTGAAACTACAAAATCACTTCCATTAAAATCTAGTCAAAGCCAAGCATCTACCCCGGAAAATTAGTCCAATTTAAGATACATTATTAAAATTTCTAGCATAAAATGTACTGCTGCATCCTATGGACTTCAGTATTGCTTTTTCTTTTTGGATCATAACATGGTTGTCTTTAACACAACAGAACTTCTCCTTTAATGTAGGCAACAATGCATGTGGAAATTAGAAGCAGAATGGCAGCTTTGCTCCCTAAAATGCATGACAGATCCTAGAGGAAAGCCAATGGACTTCAGCATCCACAGATGTGTTAGAACATAATGCCTACTTACAGAAGTAACTGTTTATCTGGAAAATATTTTGTGGTTCTCCAATTTAAAAAAGTACATTTCCACATCACTACTTAACACTTGATTTCTACTTATAAGCAGTACTCATACAATACTTCAAATAGATAGCAACTATAATAAGTATCCATCAATAGTTTTTAAAAATAACATTTCAAAGTGTTACTTACCTTCGGTTTCCATGACCAAGCTTACCATCTTCTGCTTCACCCCAAGAATAAACTTCTCCCTCAGAAGACAATGCCAAACAGTGCTTTCCTCCTGAGTTCACTGCAACTTTCTTTATAAACACATGTTGAATGGATTCCAGTAAAGTTGGAGCAGAAACTGACTCTGTTCCTCCAATTCCAAGCCTACCACCTGCTCCATATCCAGTGGCATACAACTTTAAAGTGAAGAATAAAATTTAATTTTGTTTGCCTCTTTGATGAACATTCACTACAGCTATAGAGAAGAATTCTTAATGAATGTATACTAGAATACAATTAAAGGAAAGCCTGAAAAAACAGATTCTCACATGCCCCTATACCAACTTCTGGAAAATACAAAATATTATTAAATATTTCACAAAAAAATTGTGAAAATATGGCTATGTTCAAGACAATACGAACTGTCACTGACTTAATGGATTACATTCTAAATCCTAAGGCTGATTTTGTAAAAGCATCAAGAAACCACAGCTTTGTGTGATAACTTTACAAATCATCTATCACCTGTAGGTCTTTTTCAAGCAGCCCTATTCCAGTTTTCTTTCTTCTGTGGAATATACACACCTAAACACAGTTGCTTCTTCCCCTCCCATCCCATAAATAGAGTTTTAAGTACTGCTTTTCATTCTCTTTTTGTCTACCTGAAAGTAATTTCTCTCAACAGAATGATGTCAAGCAATGTAATTAATTTGTCCCTTACCCTTCTGAGAATCATTAACAAGGATGACACTAACTGCTGAAGACAGAATCATTACAGTATCTCACTAGATGAATGCAACTGTTACAAAAAACTCTAGCTAAAATTCTCGATCAAATCCTTAACACAAATCTGCATTAAAATTAAGATTTCTTCAAATTTGTGAACTTTTTTTTCCTATACATTACACTAAACCTCTGCATGGTACTCCTTTTCACTCAGGATTTAAGCATCTGCTAATTAGATCCTGCAATATCTAACTTACGGGCACTTAGCCAACTGTGAATAATCTCAGATTCCAATTACACCTCGACCCTGTCAGAGACATAGTCACTATCACATTTTACTGTCTGTCCTGTTTTATGGGACTCTGTGAGCACATTACTTGTATTCAGCTTTGTTTTCCAAAATCTGATCACAATTCTGAATTGAGAACTAAAATACGTTCCATACATTTAATGCTACAGTACACTGAATTCCTAGAATGCACTGGCAGAGTTGGTATAGTTCAGTTTCTTTAAAAAAAAATAAAAATAATAGTAATAGTACTAATAAAAAAAAAATCTGTGCTATGCACAGTACTTTTTTATTCAGCCAAACCATTCCGACTGAGGATCAAATATTTCAAGGGAGTCTAACAAAGAAACATTTGTTGTATCCTTACTTTGCCATCAGCAGTCACTGCAAACAGAGTCTGTTCACCACCAATTAACTGCACTGGTCTAAGGGTAGCAAGAGCTTCACATGGAGTTGGGACTTTGACTTTTGCACCTTCAATCCCACCAAGTTGTCCTCTGTGATTATGACCCCAACCATAAATAGTTCCACTGCCTCCAGCTGAAAGTGTCCAATCATCGGGTCGTCTGCAGAGAACACCAAACAAACAAAATTTTAAAAGAGCTTTTAAAAAGTCCCAAAAAATGCAGTTTATCATTGTATACCAAAAAAGCATCACAAGACCAAACCAATGACAGTTGAAAGAAATAACCTATTCATCCACTGGACAAGCTGTTCATCCTGTTCTCTCTTAAAGACATCATGGCACTCATGAAGATCATCCATATTTTCATTATCCGCCATTAATTCTCGGATTTTCTTCACCACCTGTAAAATATTTTGGATTAAACGATGTTATTCAAACTATCAGTTACTTCTATCACCGTTGTCATAAAACAGTTCAACTCAGTGTATCGTTTTAAATTAAACACTTTCATACATTCCATGAACCATTTAAAATATTCCTGCAGTACCTCATCAAGGAAAAGGCGAGGTAATGGTGTCCTTTTATCAAGAGCCACAGCAACCCTGGATGCCATACAGTATCTCCTGAACCACGCCCATTTGTGAGTCTCTGCACAGCAAGGGAGAGCGTCCAACTCCAGATCACAAGCAAGAGCCACAAGCACCTGCAAATAATCAAAAAACAATTTAGAGATGTATCAAAAATGTGTAATAAATATGCATTTGATGTAGTTGAACAGCTTTCAGACCAGTAGGGCCTGAACACAGAGACATGTAAAGTGCAAGGGACATTAAAAGCCATCTTCATTACCCTCACTGATGAGGCAGCATCAAGTGTACCCACACTATCACACACGGTTTTGTATCTAATTTCCTCTTCCAATCCAAAGATTTTCACAAACCCTCTGTGAAAAACACTTAGATTAACTAACTTTTCCATTTCAAATACCATATGCTGAACTTCTTACTGTCCATTTCTAAAATGTCTCCTTCCTACAGTGTAATAAGCTTTCAATTGATTTTCGATTTGATTCAATTTCAGATCAATGTTACTGATCAAAACTGTGAACAATGGATTACTTCTTCCCTGTATACACTTTTACATATTTTAAGAATTTCTTTTTTTTAAGATACATAAGTCTCTTAGTTTAACTTTTACTAAATGGAAGGCCTTTTCAGCCTTTTATTCTTGTTGCTTTTCTTTAGACTTCCTCGGCTTGTTTATTTTTACTTGGAGTACAGGGTCCAAAACAGAATAGCCTTCCTTTTAAGACATTCTTATTTGTTCCAACCAGATGTAAATAAAACCTTCAGAGCATTTAAATAATAAAAATATATAAAACTCCTATTAGGACAAGTCAGAAATCACTTATTAAGAAGTGTAATCTACCGTACTTCCAAGATGTTTGTCTGTCCTACCTACACCTCTGCCTGGCTAAGTACTCCTTATTCTTTATTTGTACATTTGATTCTCCTTTTAGAAGTAGTGTTCTGATTTTGTCTGAAAATGTTTCTGATACAGGACTAGGTGAGCTTACCACATCTTGCCAGAAAAATCCAGAACTATACTAATGAATTCATTACTGATTGTACCCCATTACCTTAAAGAAAGGGCTGTGGAGCAATTGTTTGCCACCTCTCACAATAGGGTCCTCATAGTCAAACTGCCGCTGCAAAGCTTCTGGAAGACCTTTAACCAAAGCAGCTAAAGCACTCCCTGTGAAACTCTAGAGAAACCACAGAACTAGAAAGTTAGTCCATTTCCTAATACAAAAGTATTTCTATCAGTTTTTGGCAATTCCAAAACCCCATCTTATACAGTATTCGAATTAGCCACTTTTTTTCTAAAATGGAGTATCTTCACAGATTTGCAAACCTGTGCAAGGCGGCTGTTCATTTGCACATTTCCTATTTTGCCATTAACAACAAAAATGTTGTACATCAGGACTAGCATTTTAATGTTTCACATACATATTAACGTGAAAAATGTGAAGAGGAGAGCATCACTGCCTTCTTACCAAAGCCCGTGTTTCTCCATCATTATCCCCTAGAATCCGGTTGATGTTAATTGACTGTCCAAACTCTGTTGTGAGCAGTTTCCGTAGTCTCTGCAAGGCCCACATTCTGTGTCCAGCAGCTAAGGAAACATAAGCACATAAAGAACACAAGTTACTTAAAACAGTCACTTTAACTTCAAACAAGAAACAATTTTAAGACTAAACCTACCTAAGGCACTCAGTTGAGCACACGCTGCAAGAGAAGCTGCCAAGCGAGGAACTATACTCCTGTTTGAAGCAAAATTTAAGCGAAAATCCAACAAACACGTAACCAAATCCATTGAGGGACAGGAAAGAATGCAACGATCTGAGAGAAGGTCTTTAGGGCCTGCAAGAAACAAAAGGTAAAAAACAACAAAAAAAAAGGTGGGGAAGATTTGTCCTCAGACTGAAATAAGAATAGAACATAGGCAGCATTTAGCTGACCAAACATAGCAGTCTAGAATGCCAGTCTGCATCTGAGTTTGTACATTCCAACTCCCCTTGAAGGGACTGGAAGAAAGAGGCACTTCTATGACATCATTTACCTCATTCCAAAACATATGTACTTAAAAAAAAAAACCAGAGAATTTTAGATGAACTGTGCCTCTAAAGTATCCTTTCTTCATTGATGAAGAGGCAAACTAGAGTGATTACAAAATATTTTTATCTCTTTCCTATGTACAAGTGCACCTCTCAGGACTTTGTTGAAAACATTTCCTGAGTATGAATGAAAATCTTTTCTTAGCATGAATGTAAATGAACTATTGAACTTTGGCCTGTAAACATCATGTAATAAATGCAACTGTAAAAACCAGACCAGTAAATCTACTCTCTCACCCTTCTGTAAACATCACATATGACACCTTACCTGCAGCTGGCATGATAGGGTAAACAGTGAATCGCCATCCCCATCCATTCACAGAGCCATCACTGATGAACTTCCACTTTAGTTCATCCCCTGGAATTCGCAATTCACTAGACCAATCTGACCACTCACGACCTGTTACAGTAGGTAATATGAACATATTCATCTATACTGTCTGAGCCAATGAAAGTCACTCATCAATTGCAACTTCCCTCCACAGTTATCTATTATAAACATCACATAAACGCACTGAAGAAAAAGAAAAATCTACTTGAAACAAAAGAACATAACTAAAATGATGTTACCTTAATGAAACTTAAGTCTCACACAGTTCAGTTAGCACTGTTAACAGATATCCGCAGTACTTTTAATACCACGTTCAAAAGACAATTACAAGATCTTACTAAAATCCACTGTCCCATTTTCAAATTATCTTTTCATATTACAAAAATATGTAACAACATACATATTAAATTAAGCTTTACAGTTTTTTCCAACCAGGAATCCAATCAGAAAAATCACTATAAGAAACACATGTTCATCTGAAACAGTCTGGGGGAAAATGGATCAACAGTAAAAGCCCACATCATGACTGCTCAGAAATGTTAAGCACAGGCAGTAAGTACCGCAACACTTGCACATGATGTAAGTATGGGTAGATTCATCACACAGTTTGATGAGATTAAAAATATTCCTCTAAAATCTTCAAATTAATAGTGCTTAAAAATTAAATCAGAGATAATACAATAAAAGATGCGAAGATTTCATGTAGAGTCAAATACATAGGCCAGAACAGAAAACAGAAAGAGCGCCTAGATATTACTGTGGGCATTCGACAGCAGAAGAGCATTTGTCTTGACTGTATGAAAGATCAAACTTCTGTAATTATTACTTGAAAAAAGAAAAAAGCTAACAAAAGAACTACCTTTTCCAATTGTGTTCCAATTTTTTAAAATATACTTTGACTATAGGGAAATTCACACATGTTGGCAGGGGTGCTAAATACTTTTGTTTTCCCTAACTTCTCTTAGGAAGAGCATGACAACATGCTCTTCTGAGAAATTCTCTATATGTAAAGATGCAAGATCATTCTTACTTGTCTGTGTCTAGATCCTACATCATTTTTAGTTTAAAACAGACTATCAATTTGCACAGTTTTTCCTCTTTTTTTACTGGCATATCCTCACAATAAGTCAATCGCAGACAATGGTATATTTAATTCAGCATTTAACAGTAAATCACACAAGACATCTTTGAAAAGCACTAGTTCTCATAACCTGATCGGACGGAAACAATTCTGTTGACACCATCCATTATGGTGAGTGGATCATGACGTCGCTCTGTAGAACACTGGCGATCAAATTCTACCCTCAGCCCCTCAGCACCTAAATAGCAACAAAGAATTTACACATTTCTACAGAGCAATCAATACCACAAACAAATGCAGTATTTTAGAAACCGATAAGGAATCAAACACAGTTGTTTGGAAGCTACAGCATTCATTAATAAAAACTAACTTCCTTTGGTTTAATGACATTATTCCTTTGTAATTTCTTCTCTTTGAAAGGCTTACACCATAGCAAGTTCGTGTGAGTAGGGGCTAGCAGACAGAAGACCATATTCAGAACATTTCAAACTAAAGTTGCAACAGACAAAAAATGTCTATTTACAGTTAAGGCAAATTGCTCTTTGTTGCCTGTACCTTTTGATATAAGTACTAGATAACATACTGAAGGAAGCACTAAATGAAAAGACAGCATTAAAAGAAAAAAGTATTTTCCTAATGCTCAAGACTAGGAGGCAGGTGGTCAACTACTGACCCTGAAAAAGACTCAGTCCTTCTCAGCTTCATAACCGAACAGAAAACAGCAATGATAGACAGCTGCATTAACAGCCTGTGAACCCAAAAATGCATATTTCACAGGATCAAGATGTTCATGCAGTATGTAAGTGTTTTAAGAAATACTTTATTACAGCAACAGGACACATAACACAGCTTTAAAAGTTCAATACACAGTTTTGCAAGCCAAGGAAAAATTTTATGCATGCAGGCTTGAAATTAGCCGAATTTTAGCAACATAGCTCTTAAGAATTCCATACCTGGTATTTTAACTGTGCCACTAGAAGATGTATCATCAGTATATGGATGGCTGCTTTCTACCACAACTGGTTGTGAAGAGAGGCGACCACTTTGTGAATCAGTTGCCACATCTTCTAGTTCAGTAACACACAGCTCCAACAACATATCAGCAACCTAAGGAAAAGATACACTTTTTCGTAAAGTGTTTGACTAGTCCAAGAAATCTAAGCCAACCACCATTATTCTCAAATTTAAAAAAAAGAAATCAATCAGTTTATGAATCAGAATTCAGAAAACATCAGGAAAAAAGAAGCAACAGTTTGAGAAATACGACTCAATTGCCTCTACATGAATAGGATCAGTTAGGCTCTCCCACAATCCTAGTTGACTCAGACAGAGATACCATAAGATTTCACTGTTTAAAACTGTAGCTGTCTTGTCATTTATACCATTAATAAATAAACAAAATTTCTCTCAATTCAATGCAAATTCCTTAGCAAAGTTATTTTTCATCTTTTTGGTTAGTGAAGCCAAGTTTAATAAAAGAATACAAAAATCAGCTTAGCACAACCACCTCTGATGTTTCAAACAAGTCTTAAAGCAGTGCTAAGCCATAAATTAAGTACATCATATGAGCATCTTAAAAGAAATGCATTGTTACTCATTTGAAAAAAAAATACTTGAAGGGTAAAGCTACAAGAAACATTAAACAACTTTCAGTTCATTCCTGTAAGCAGACATTCTATAAATAATCTAATATTTGCAACATTCTTTCATACAGCTGTTGGTATCAAATATTACAGCATTTATTAATTCTGTTAGTCAGTTGCCCCAAGAAACCCACGCACATGGATAATTTGTAAACTGTTAGAAACTTAAGTGCATCAAAAGTAAATCTTAAAAATTAAGAAGAATTACTATAGCACTAAAAATATATTAACAGCATTTTTAGACAGCAATAATGAAAGCATCAATTTGAGAAATAAACTCAGATGCAAAAGAAAACCAACATGGAAGTTTTGAAACCAGCTTTCCACAGATCCAGGAAATAGGGCTTGGTTAATTCAGCTTTATTCCAACAACCACACACACTTGTCCAATACATAAATACAGTTAATTAAGTTTCTATTTTAATGTGTGATTACTGACATTTGTCACACATGCATATATTCATATTTTCATTAAAATCAGCAATGTTCACATGCATTTAAGTTCATCTCAAAATTTCATGTTTACAAAGTGCAGTTCAACATACTGAGAAATTTAAAATACAGGAAAATATTCTAGTAAGTCACTAATATAAAGGACATAGTTAAAATGCAACAGAAACAAAACCTGACCTGTGGGTAAGCTGTGCCCATACCAGAAAGCACAGCTGAAAGAACATCTCTTCCCTTTTCCCCTGCCCGGTTGGACACAGCAAGCTTTAGCAGGTCAACCATGACTCGTGTGTCATCTGGTACTAAGAGACTAGTAAATTCATCCAAGTACTGTGGTTCTGGGCCAGACACTTTACTTTGACTTTCTACGTCCTACAAAACAAATTGCAAAAATATTTAGACAGTGAAGATGAAAGAAGTATCTCACTGAATCCAAACAAGTTAACTTGTCTGAAGAAGTTTAAAGGTAATTTAAAACACAATTCGTACATCTGGGATCATATGGTCCCCAAATTAACCTACTGTTAAAGCCATTTCTCAAATGAAAAAGCTTTCATAAAACTAATCTCCTTTAACTTGGGGGGGGGCGGAAATGCAGTCATTTATAGAATAACTTTAAAGCCACAAGCAAAGGAAAACTGCTTCATAAAAGCATGGTAAAGACTTAAGTGGTAAGGAACGTATTGACATTACTTCTTTGGTTTTTGTCATGGTTTCTGCAATGATACTGGCAGCTCCAGGATCATCTGTGACAGGAATGAAAGGACGGGAAGAGGCAGCAGCAGCTGAGGGAGTTACAGCAGACGGTGTCACAGCATCTTCTGAAGAAACAACCTGGCCAAAACAAATAATAACAGGAGCTGCAACAAGATACTGTAAAACCTTTAAGAGTCTAATCATTTATTACAAGGGCTTATGTTGAAAGACAGCAGTAATTTAAAAAGAGCCATAAATTCAAAACCTACAGACTCGCTCCCTGTATTTTTAGCTTCTGTTTTATGCTCCTGGCAAATCAGCCAACATTGCCCTCCCTGCAATGCCAGCTGCCACAAAAATATACAATAAAACACCAGTGCCTGCAGAAAAGTCTACAATGTAGAGGCAGATACATGTCAACATCTCAACAATACATGTCAAATTAATAGTTTGTTAAAGGAAAAGATCTCTTCAGTAGCAAGCCTTTTTTCTGTTTCTGTTAGCAGTTGGGAAACAGTAGAATTCTGTTCAGGCCTTACTGGCTACATTAGCTGATAGAAGTGTCAATTATTTAATGAAATATAATTGTAAAAAGATTTTCTAGGTCTTGAATTTTTAATTTTTTTTTCTTTAAAGATCACTTCTGTAAAATGAATTTTGTATCTGGTCAAACAGTTAATACTTTTACATTAAAATAGTACTAGAAATCATCCCAATTGCATTTAAACGACACAGTGCATTCTGAAAGTTCAAAACTGATTTCACACTAAAATATTAGTTTTTCCAAATCTGATGTACATAGAGTACTCACTCCAGAAATTAGAGCATGGAAGAACTGTTTAATCTCTGCTATTATCAAACTAAATGGGATAATATTTTTCAGCTTTATTGTTAAACATTATTGGAAAAATCCTTCTGACACTTTACCTCCCCTCTCCTGTCCTGCCATGGGTTTGGGCTCAGCCTCTCTTCTATATCTCCTACAAGCATGCATTCATCTCCATTTGCAGGGCTTCCTGTAGAAGTAGCATCTGATGGGGGGGCTGGCGATGAGGAGGGACATTCTACTGGTGCAATCATACTTGCAGGCATCAGTGCTCCAACAACTGCATCCCTGAAATCATTTAGGACAGATTAACGCAAACCTAATTACACTCCCCCGCTGAACGTAGAAAAAAAATATTAGCTTGTCTTAATAAGGAAAAGTTTCCAAGCTCTAGAATTTAGACAGCAGTTTATCTCCATTCTCCTTTGGGACTGATGTTTAAATTCTGTGTTTTAAGGCCACTATTTTATATTAGTTCCTCTTCGTAAATTTTAGCACAAATACTCTGGTTCTCTACCAACAGCAAGAAGGGCACCGTAAAGTTTTATTGTTCTTTCCATCCTGCTCCCCCACATCATATATCATTATTTACGTACACTCCTTTTACATGATTTACTTGAGCATTCCTAAATAAACAAATAATTTCCCCAGGAACTGGGAGCTTCTATAAAGAAAACATAACAGCATAAAGCTAACATCAACATCAAAAGAAAAATTAAGTGAAGCTTGGGCCTATCCTGGGGAGTCCAAACTTGTGAAACAACTTATGCCTGAAGCAAGAGACCCCAACAGATGGTAAGCTAAATCATCTTTTGCTCTGCAAAAGAAGAATGTTTGTATGCCTACCTGGCATACATGATTTGTAATGCCATCAGTATATGAGATAACGCCTGCTGTTTGGCAGCATTCCCATCAAGTGATAGGAGAATCTTAGCGAGGGAAGGGCGATTGGGCTTGGAACTGTTTGCCCCGCTGATTTTGTTACTGGCAGCAGAAGAATCTGCATCTGAAGGAACACCTGGAGTGAGGGAAAGAAAAGACAGTGAGCATTTTTTAATGGTGTAACACCTAAGTGGAACTGATTTATCTAATTTATTGTTAAGCTAGAAAGATTACTGTAAAACGGTACAGTAGATTCTTAAACTGCAGTGCCTACAGTTACAACATTAAAGTCAATACTGAGGCTTTGCAGCAAGGGCTTTCATAAATAAGTGGTCCACCTTGTTATTTACTCATGAAGATTAAGGAAATACAGATATAAATAATTTGGTGATCAGCATCTAAAACAAGTTTTACTTATACAGAAATTTCTCAAATAGCATGAATATTTATTAGGTACTCTTAAAAATACTTATCAAATATTCTATATATTTACTTCTTGCTCTTTTTTAAAGATATTGCCTTGTTCATGAGAAAATTTAACTATCAAAATGTTTGGTGCTTTTATATTCAACACAAAACATTGCTGTTTTCCATCCCTAACTTTTAAGTCACCTACCTTAGAAAGAAAAGTTAACAGTAGCACCAAGAATTATAGCAAGAGGTAACATATAAAGGCAACCAATATTACAGTATCATTCATGTACCATTACCTCCATAAAGCTCTATCCCATACTAAAGACAGAAGACTTTGGGGCATTTGTCTGAAAAGATTGCATTTTAATTTCCTGAAGAACCACAGAAGCTCAAACTAATGCTTCTTCTGAACAAGTCCTTTACAACCTCCACTTTGAAGAAGGGGTTTTGTTGTTTGTTTTTTTTTAGAGGTGTTTGTGGGTTTTGCTGTTGTTTTGTCGTGCTTTTTTAAAAGACAGTTTTCTTTTTGCACTCTTCTACCACCTACTAAACCACACACACAAATAACTCTCCAGTGGTATAAAAAAAAAAAAAAAAAAAGAAAAAAAAAAGGGGAGTAAATACCAACCAAGATAAGAAGCACCTAAAGGGTCCCTCGCTGTCTGGAAAAGTACTGGTTCATGAACAGAAGGTGTAGCTACATCCACTGTTGTCCATGCTACACTGTGGGAAGATCCACAAGCAACCCGGGTGATCTTCTGGCCTTCCAAGCCCTGGACAAGAGTGGGCTTTCTATTTACCGTAGTAGTTCCATTGCCTTGTTGCCCATGGTCATTGTCACCCCAAGCATAAACCTGCCAATAAACATTTCCACATATTACTTTGCTTCACTGGTTGCCTCATTTAATTGTTTTCTTAAAAACTCCTAAAGACAAATATTAGTGATTTATATTATTAATTTAGGACACTTTAGGGAACCTATTGCCATGACTTTATTTTTCCCTGTTAAATAATGCAGGCATTATCATACATTAAAAAAACAAAGAAAAAAAAAAGCAAAGCAACACTATCAGATGATTCATAAATTATTGCTAATTCATTATCATCAGTTGATTCATAAATTATTCAACGTTCACAGTTAACAGTAAGTCAAAAGAATTAGTTGCATAGTCATTACATAGGGGATCTGAATCCATACTATGATAATGATAACACTGGATTACAGGAGAAAAATCTGCCCAGAATACTACGACTGCTTCTGCATTTCAAGAGAAAGAAGCAGGAAGCTGATCATGCAGATAAGTCATAAACTAGGAAAATATTACAAAAGCTACTATGACAACATTTAAAGTCCAACAACAATATGAAAGCTAACGTATTTTAAATTACAATCATGCTTACATTTATTCAACACTGTAAAAAGCAAATAAATATCATTACAAATTTCTATTCCACTTAATCAGCACCAATGCTATTACATTCTTCTTCCTCAATAGTTTAGTTTATTCCTTTCTGGATCAAGGAAAAAAGGGAAAGAAGAATGATGCACAACGTACCTGCCCAGTATCAGTTACTGCTAGACAGTGGAGTGCGCCTACAGCCACATGCACGATCTTTTTACCTCTCAGTCCTTCCACAACTTGTGGCTTTCGTACATGTACATCTGTGCCATGCCCTAGTCTGAAGTAGTCACCCTTACCCCTGCAACAGACAGTAAACACAAAATTCAAGACAATGATATTGTTTACACATTCCTCTGTCAATGCAGCTTCCCAAACCAAAATACTTTATCACTGGGATTAAACACAAGCACCAACTATGTAATTCAGATTTGAAGAATTTCGAAGTCCTAAAAGTAAATGCAACTGAAGTTCTGTGACTCCATAACTTTTCTCCCCAGTATAGAAGAGGCATCTTTATAACTATTTTTTATATGTAGTTCAACTGTGATTACACTGAACTTGTTCTGTTGCAGAAACATCGCAATTGTAAATACTTACAAAACTGATGTGTTTCAATAGACTTGGAAACATTCATACTATTGAGGATAAACCTAATAATAGCAGGCTGTTTGACAAGTATACTTACATGAAAAAATATACACAGACTCACATGTTTTCAGAACTGAGTTTTGTCACACTGTTGCAAGCCTCAATATAGGTTCTCAAAGCTCGATAATTTGAATTCTACTAAAATTCTTATATACACACTGCACTAAAAATATACGATATGCAGAAGTAATGTAAACACCTTAAAATGCCTTCAAGAATGTCAGTAAAGAACAGAAAAACCCTGATATTTCTTCCAGTGTGTTTTTATTAACCATTCACTCAGTTCTGCTGCTCACCACCAATTTCTCTCAAGAAAGGTTATGTTATGCTAGAGGTGAATGTGATATACAGTACTACTGCCTACTTAAAGTTTTAACACAGATGTTGTGATTTTTTCCCTCAAATCAGTACACATTCAAGAAGATAAGAAGTTCAGAAGTAACTCAGCCATCCTAAAGTGCAGACATGCACAGCTGAAACAGACCCAAAAAATCACCTTGTAGTCCTGTAATGTCATGAAATGGCTGTTGATTTTGTGACTAGATATAAGTGTTAAGACAAACTGGAGGAAGGGAGGAAGAAACAAACGAGTTCTTAAAGACTGAAAAATTCCTCTTCCCCTTACTCTTTTCATCACTCCAAAAAAAAAAAAGTATTTAAAAGAGGGGAGGAAAGTGAGAGAGACAAATAAAGTTTCCAGTGGCCACTCTGAAAAACAACATCTATTTTGAAAAGGAGAAAAACTTTTAGCAGAGAAGTAACTTATAAAAATGGAAGTCTTGCTGATTTCTCTTTATATCACTCACCAACTGCTGACAAATAATAAAACAAAAATGACCAAAGCTTTTTAGCTTTGATATACATCAGAGATCATCTGAGGCTTTGAGCAACCTGCTCTAGTGGAGGGTGTCCCTGCCCATGGCAGGGGGGTTGGAACTCGATGATATTTAAGGTCCTTTCCAACCCAAACCATTCTATGATATAATTCTATTAGAGTCTTATTACACAAGACCTCAATCAGCTTAGAGATCTGAAGTTGATCTGCCATACAGTAAGCTCTCAAATTTTACAGAAAGGTTTATAAAAAGATAGGTTTGTGTACAAAACAAAGCAGAAGCAAGCAAACAGAAGAAAAATAAACAGGGTTTCTGAATACCTCTCAGTGATCATCTTATACCAGCTCTTGTCTCAAGGCATCATCACTGACAACTCAGTGGCCTTCTGAGCAGCAATGAGCTCCACAGCTATCTGGTGTTTCCAAGGAAGTTCTATCTCCTCCGAACTTTAACTTACCTCCTTACTCTACTATATCCTTACTCTCTCAGTTTCTGCTTTAGTTGGAGGCTACATACGCCAAACCACAACTCTCAGGTTCTCTTTTTCCCACTCCAAAGTCTTGCCTTTACATGCTCCATTGCTCCCAAGAGAGCATGTGCTTGGATGATCTTCCCCCTTCCTCCACTAATTCAGTGAGATCCAAGCATCCTAACAGAGTACAATACACAACGGAGCATGCTACAAGACACAGTGTTAGAGTAATTGAACAGATCACATGTTGTCTCTAAGAGCTGCCCATTTAAAAGACAAAGCACACAGGTAAGGCACAGATGGAGTTAAGACAAACAGCAATAAATACAACACATACTTAGCAATAGCTTTGTTAGTATGTTCTGGAAAATGTAACATACCATGTCCATACCACTCCTGACTTGGTCAGAGCCAATGAGAACTGTGCGCCACACTCAATCTGACAAACGCCTTGGCCATTCAGTCTTTCAATGTTCTGAGGAATGTTGCATCCTTCACTTCCTCCTCGGCCCAGTTTTCCAAAATCACCATCACCCCAAGAAAACACCAAACCTAACAAACAGCAAACTGCAGGTCAAACAATGATCACAGTATTCCCATGTGCTAGAAAGCTTCTGAAACAAGGTATTCCTACCTTCATCTGTCAAGGCAAGAGTCTGAGCATCTCTGCTTCCACAAGCAACCTGAATGACTCGGTGGCCAAGGAGCACTTTAACCTACAAAAAAAAGCATGATGTTTCAAATAAATTACGTTTTAAAACCTTACAGACATTTTCAAGCTCTTAAAACTGATCTTGTTAATTGTGCCCAGCCTGAGTATGCCATTTAGCAAAGGATTATCCAGCCTTGACTGCTCAGGATCCAACAACAGTAGTAGGTTCCAGGTATGTATCAAAGAAGATGCAGGACATGAATACTCAAAACAGCACTAGCCACTTTGCATCACTTCCCAAGAAAAAGAAAGACTGGATCTTTTTGGCCTGTTATTAGAGATATGTGTACCAAAATCTAATTTAGATCACTCCAAAATGATGTCTTCATACTGCTTTCATGGTTTTTGGCTTTACTTCAGCTTTATTTAATCATTTATTTAGCATACACACATACACCAACATTTCATCAGAGACAAGAAAGATTTATTTTACCATCTTAGGCTTCAGCTGTGTGGTATTATCTCCATGTCCTAGCCTTCCATATTCTCCAAGACCCCATGTATACAGTTCACCACTAGAGGTAATTGCAGCACTGTGGGAACTGCCACAAGCAATATCACGGATGCGTTTGGTTTTCAACGCTTCTATCAATCTGGGTTTATCACAGTTCCTAGAGAAAATCCATTGCATTAATTATGAAAGAGATGCAGAATATACTTCAGCCTTCACAAACCATCTGATTTGGGCACTTATTTTTTAGGTATTCTGAGCAGGTCTTCAAAATATATCAGAATGAAAAACAAAGATTTCCCCATGGAACGTTTTTTTTCTTTCAAAACATTGTTCTGTGGTACATACGAAGAAAAATCCTGAGACAATTCAAATTGCCCTCAAAGCTGTCCTGTGGAGGATTAAACTATTTATTACTGAGAAGTGTAAGAAATTCATTTCTGGCTAACAAGCTTGTGAACAGAAGTCTAAAGAAAAGGGCTACAAAATACTCTGTCAGGCTTACATTATGAACTGTTACAGCTCAGGAATGTAAAACTGCTATGGTTTTACACCTCAAGGCACCTCTGTAAACCTACCTTAAAAAAGTAACCAAAAAAATCTATGTCCAAAAGTGTGCCATTTCATCCATGACGTTCAAAAATTCTAGTAAAGACTATCCACTAAGTATGTTTTCAACTATTAGAGCAATTGAATGCCACCTTTTTAAATGACTGAAGACTGCTACAAATGCTGCATCATAAAGTGACACACACTGTTGAAAAAAATGTTTTCACAACACAATTTTTAATTCCCATTGTATTAAAAACCCTATCATTGTAAATAGTGGTGCTCAGCTGTGTTATAGCATGTAACACAGATGTTCTCTTACTGAAATACAAATTTTGTATCCTTACATTCGACTGAAATGACCGAGTTTTCCATCATCTCCTTCACCCCATGAAAATACCTTTCCGTCAACAGTTAATGCCATAGCATGCCGGCCACCTGAAAGTGTAAAGTTTAAATTTTTAAGCTTTCAAGTAGGCATCAGGTCTAGCAAAAATCTCAGAAATGTAACGCTAACATACTTCTACAATGTAACTGTATGAGCCTTTCAACCCAATATATATTACTTATTTTCTTCAAAGTTTTTACGTGATTTAATTTAAAATACAAAACTTTTGTGAGAGTAGGTTTTCTGGCACAGAAAAAAAATGTTTTTAAAAAAATCACTCAATTTGCTATTTTCAATGCTGCAAGAAAAGAAGAAAAAACACACCCATAATTTAGCAATATTCAAAAATGAAAACACTTTATTTGGATCAGACTGAAAAACTATGCAGAAGTTAACAAATTTAACTTCCAGCAAGTAAGAGACTGTGTATGGTCTAAATTCATAGATTTTAATAACAGAACCATTAGATTTAATCTGACATTTTATGCAACAGACATAATTTAATAAACTGTATTTATTTTTTTCAAAATTTAGAAATATCGGATATGCTGGGGCATCACAGCACCCAAGAAAATTGGAAAGCAACTATTTTCAACCTTAATACATTATGTTTATGTATGTAAGAATAGCAATAGTATGTACCTGAGTGAACAGCCACCTTCTTCACCACATAGTTACTGAGAGCTGTAATTTGGCGGGGAATAGGCACCGTTCCACTAGATATTCCTAAACCCAGCCTTCCATTTGTGGCTTCTCCACAGGAATATACTTTACCCTCCACAGTCACTAAAATGAAGGAAAAAAAAAAGTTTGAAACACCATTAATGTTTCACAACAGGAAACCTGTTTCTGCCTTTAAATAACTATATTCATTTAAAACTTATATTACCTGCAAAAAGGCTTTTGGAGCCTCCAGCTACTTGTACAACGTTCAAGGCAGACAGGGTTTCAGAAAAGGAAGGGACCTTTATCTAGAGCAGATAGGAAATACAGATCATTAGAAAACACTTCAAAAAGAACAGCTATTCTTCAGTGATAAACCAGTTAATCTAACAGGCTTTTTTTTCCTTTTTAAATAATGAAACCTCCCATATTATTCAGACACTTCACACATACACCAGGGAAAAGACAGAAACCAAGAAAACGTATGATATCTTAAATTGATCAAGCATTCACAATGTATCTCCCATTTTGCATTGTATTAAAAGTTACATATAAATGGTTGCACACAGGGCAGAAATTCCTCTCAAATTACACTGAATTGTAATCAAGTTAAACCAATCTAAAGATTAGGGTTCAACTTTTTTTTCTGATGACTGCATCAGCTCCATGTACAAGCAATATGTGGAAAAATTCCCCAATATCTTTATTTCATGTATGCAAACTCTAAAAGAGCAAAATATGTATAGACTACTATACATTTTTAGAACAATTAGCTCACTATCATCTAAAACAAATTAAGTGGCTGCTAAAAAATCAAACTGGATTTCAGAGTAACAACCATAATGCAAATTTTCTCCAATTTTCCATCCAGCAGACATCTACATGTCTTAACAGCAGAAAGCAATTAAAACCTATTCTTCATAGCTTTTGATAATAAACTTTAATTAAAATTTAATCTGAATTTTAATTTTGAGTTGTATGAAATTTGTACATTTTATTTTTAGCTGTGTCTGTTTTGTACTGAAGTATGAAAACAATGAACTTACCTTGGAACCTTTTAGCCCTCCCAATTGGTCTTTGTCATTCAGTCCCCAAACAAAAACTTTGGTTCTTATTGTAGCTGCTGATTCAAGCCCAGCTGCCTTCTTTCTAACAAGACTGAACATATTGAGAAAAAAATAAATAAAGTCAGTGTAGCAAGCAACCTGCATACTATAGCACAGGCACCTTTTTACTGTATTTACTGATTTTACAGTTGAGAACAGTTTCAGTACTCCAACTACACCACCACAGTTAAGTGGTGGCTATAACAAATAAAACCAAACAAAAACCCAGAATGTTTTGCTGAGCAGTGGTAAATATACACATGCCACATACCAAATATCCACATCAAATTTGTAGCTAGGTTTTCGACTCCAGGTATACTGCAGAAGCAGAACAGTTGTACAAATTGTACCAGCTTACCAGTGTGACAAAGAAGCTATTTATCAACAGATACCTAGTTACAATTCTGACAACTAAGATACTGGTTTCTCTTTACTACCATTAAGCTGGTCTTCCTACAATATTCTCCTGACTGGAATATACAGACACTAAGGTTTCCAGACACTAATTTCCCTCCCGTCCCCCAGAGTTATCTACCTCCCAGTGTTAGCTTTATCATCGTCCTCTTCCTCATTATCAGAAGCAAGGAAAGGGACTGCAGCCAAGTCTTCATCCTCTGCACGTATACGTCCCAATATGCTGAGGCCATGTATTTTGCAATCAATCCCAGAGCTTCTGCACTGCTTGATTGCAATCTCAATATACCTGTGGTACTAAGAAGAAAAAACTGAATTGCCATCTTTTGGGTCCCTTATAATTTTATAAAACATTGGAATTAGAACTTCTGATTGACTTTGTCACCTTAACAAAATGAATCTGTAACTTTAAATATCTGGCTTATCAGCCCTACATAATTCATACTTTAAGATAAACATACGGCCTCATTAATTTGAGAATTTCACTTCCAATCTTCTAAAAATTTATTACGCATTCCTCCTTACTGTTCCTGAAGATCAGAATTAGTACACAAAAAAGCTTTATCACCCATCAAAATTATGACCAAACGTTAAGTTTATTGGATTGTCTTCTTGGTTTATAGGTACATTGATTTACATTAAAAAAAACCTAAAATATCTTTACTACTAAGGTTATAATAGAGTTACACTGTGATTATGGTAAAACTTATCAGAATAACTAACTTTACTAAACTGTCAGAAATAGTGATAATTTAGAGGAAAAGTAAAATACCATGCTTTAATAATCATAACAGTGCTCTTCATTCATCTCTTGCAGCAAAATATTTTTCTGTTGCATACAAGAGTAATTCTCACACAAACTTCACTTACTTCTGTACAATCACTGAGAAGAGGCACTGTGGTGTCTGTAGGATTTATATTTATTGTCTTTAGCTCTATAAGGTTATTTAAGGAATTCCCCCCTAGAAAACAAAGCACAAAAAGAAAAATATTTTAAGATACGGTGTTTGTTTCATAAACAGGCATTATGCATGTTAAATAGATGACTATGTTAACTGAAACCAGATAAATACTTCCGCTGAATGTACAAAATAGTATTTTTGACTTGTCAGAGAACATACACATACCTGAAACTACAACTAAAGACGGCATGTAACTGCTGTCTGCAGGGTCCACTATCATCTTTAGTCTGTGAACAAGAACATCTGGAAAAATCTCCAAGCGAATCCAGTGCTAGGGGAAACACACAATTTCATTTTCAGATAGTATTGCTACCAATCACCACATGATTAACAAAAATAAATGTGTGCTGTTTTTGAAGAAAGCATGAAAAACATCTGTGAATGGTACAGAACAGCTGCAATGCATGGGAACTGGTCAAAGGAAAATGACCTTGTGAACATCTCACCTACTCAGCCTCCAAATAGAAGAGAAATTATTGCAGCAAATTATTTATTTCTCACAAGAGCAACACCACTGAGCAGACTGAGAAAGCACAACACAGTCCAAGGTCAAAGAATGGGACATAATGTAAATCTTTGACTGGTTACAGTCTCTAGACAACCCAAAGGAAGGTATTTAAGGATATTCTTATCATGGTCATCAACACAGCATCAAAACACACTGGACAGAAGCCTAACTGCAAATACCAGTACCTAGGCTGGCCACAGAGCAGCACTGTGGTAAACTGGTAAACCATAAACTAAGGAACAATGCTTTTATGTTTTTATAAACGACCTGGACAGAGGAATCAAATGTACGTTAAGCAAGTTTGCTGATGACACTAAACTAGGAGGAGCTCTGGACTCCCTCAAGGGTAAAGAGGCCTTACAGAGAGATCTGGGCAATCGCCAAACATATGAAAACAAGAGCAAGTGCCAGATTCTCCCCCTGGAATACAATAATCCTACTTATACATACAAACTGTGGGACAAGAGGCTGGAGAGCAGCCCTGAAGAAAGAGATCTCGCTGTTCAGGTTGAAAGCAAGTTGAATATGAGCGAACAGTGTGCCCTGGCAGCCAAAAGGGCCAACTGTGTCCTGGGGTGCATCAAGCGCAGCATAGCTAGCCAATCGAGGGAGGCAAGTGTCCCACTTTATACTGCACTGGTGCGGCCCCACCTCAGTACTCTGCAGGTTTGGGTGCCTCAATATGAGAAAGACATCAAATTATGAGAGCATGTCCAGAGGAGGGTGACCAAGACGGTGAAAGGTCTCGAGGGCAAGACTTAAGAGGCCACTTAGTTTGTCCAGCTTGGAGAAGGCTGAGGGGTGGCCTCATCGCCATCCACAGCTTCCTCAAGCGGGCTAGCAGAGAGGGAGGTGCTGATCTCCTCTCTGGCGACCAGTGACAGGACATGAGGAAATGGAATGAAGCCGCATCAGGGGAAGTTCAGATTGGACATTAGGAAAAGGTTCACTGAGAGGGTGGTTAGTCACTGGAACACGCTCCCCAAAGAAGTGGTCACAGCACCAGGCTTGTCAGAGTTCAAAGAGCATCTGGAAGATGCTCTTAATCATATGGTTTAGTTTCAGGTAGCCCTGCGAGGAGCAGGGAGTTAGTTGGACTTGATGATCCTTATAGGTCCCTTCCAACTCAAGATATTCTACGATTCCATGCAAGTGAGGAAGTGCTTGGAGGCAGTTATAGCTAGTAAGAACATACATACTTTACGTATTGCAACAAACTCACTTAAGTAAAATATAATCAATATGATTGTTAAGAACAATCGTCTTCAGTCATTATACTGAAAAGGCAATTGTAACCATATAGCCAACTATAGAATAGAATAATTACCCTGTATTTCAAAAATCACACAAGTTCCTTATAATTCACATTAAATAATTAGAAAGATGAAGCACAGCTTTTAAAAAAATAGGCACATCTACTGCAAAGAAACATAGTTTTGTACTTCAGATGTCTGGTTTTATTACCTTCATGTAAGAGTAGAGTAGTAAACAAATGTATTTCACTAAGGTAAATACTTATCCTCTTAAGAAGAAAGCGCACCAGAATAAACCCGTTATGGCTAAAGCTACCTTTCCTTGTGAGCCAGAAGACTGCCAGCACTGCTCACTACCATCAATAAGGCGTGAAGCTTGATTCACAGAGGATGAGACATTCAAATTCTTAACTATTCTTGACCAGTCATCCAGTAGCATTCCCCGCTGACTACTATGCCGTCTCTTCAGCTGCTTTCCAGAACGCCCACAAAACACTGGAGACTGACCTGCATGGTCAAATTAAATATTAAGCATGTACCTCTCAAAGAAAATTACTTTTATAAAACCCATAAGCAATGTGAAAGGAAATATAAAAAAAATCAAAGATTTCAGGCATGTAGTCTAGAAGTACAGAAGCATGTCATCTACATATGGTAGTACTACTTTCACTTAAAGGGCATAGCTCAAGATTATGTTTTTTAAAGGCATGTCAAACACTTTACCCGACTACAAGCTTTCATGTCTTTCATTTGGGATAGTGACAGTTTCTATTCTTAGACTTATAATTGATTTGTACCAAGAAATCAAGCATAATTTAGTAAAAAGCAAACATTAAAAAATGAAGGAAAATTACTCTCTTCAGGAATGTAAGACACTAAGAGTAATTCCTAAAATCAAATGATAAAACATAACAGGGACATGTGTTCTTTACACTGACAGAACCCATAAAACGCAACATTCTTGACTAAATAACCGCTTGAAAGCATCCTTCCTTTTGAAATACAAATCAAAATTTATGATGACACATAATTCAAAATACAGGCCCACAGCACATTAAATTTGTATACCACCATAGCATATGAAAAACATGCAACCAACCCTTAACAGAAATCCCTTACATAGCTAAGTTGCCACACTCAAAAATTCTGAATCTTGTTCAAGAATTAGGTGCTTTAATGAGTTGTTGACTTCCTCCCTGCAAAAACCTACTTCTACTTCCCTTCACTGATTTTTGTAGCTTCTAGAAAGCCTGACTAAAATAATATTGAAACTCCTCTACCCTATGCAGGGCAACAAAGATTACAGACTCACACCATAGTAGTTGTACAACCATATTAACTGATTTCTTAATGGAAAGTCCTTCTTGCCCTTTAGACAACCCATCATACACATGCAATGCATGTTCATGATTTCTAGTAGGGAATCAGTTTTATTCATTTTCCAAACCAATTAGACTGGCTACATGTAAATATGAAGAAGTTTAGTCCAGAACCCAGCACAACCTTGCAAATACTAGAGATCAGACTAATTTTTAGACAGGTAGAGAGAAAACAAACAAAAACTAGTGTCAGGTAAGTTTTGCATAATAATGAAAAACCCGGAAGTTTTCAAGTTAAAATGGCTATACCTGTTCTTGCCCTAGAAACAATAAATTCTGATTATGATTCTTTCAAAAGGCTTCCCTTTCCTACCACAGCTCTCTGGAGTCTCCACATCATGGAGGAAATGAGGCAATAGCCATCACACATTGATAGGCAAAACTGTCAAAGATCAACTGAGGTCTAAGATATCTTAGGTATTTCAAGCTGCACCCGACGTCATGAGGATTCCATTCACCTATGCTGATAGCAAAAGGCAGAAGGATTGAAGAATTCTACCTTTTACTCCTAGTATAGCTGAAAACGCAGTTCTGGCAGAGAGTTACTGTCACAGTCATATTTTTAAAACATTTTTAACACTACAAAAAAAGCTTAAGGGTTGATCTTTTTGGTGTAGTCCACCATGTGCAATTGTAGCAGTGCTATGATCTGCTAAAAATGTTTTCGTGTCTAGAGGGTCAATCTGAACACCAATTTCATTATGTTAAGGAGTCAAAATTTGAAACATTAAAAAAAAAATTGGTGCATTTTAAATTAATCTAAGAAACACACAGATTCTGAAACTTACCTGGCTCATTTATTCTGCCAAAAGTATGTCGAGTGTTATGCTTCCTGGTTTTAAAACAGGTTTCACAAAAGTCAAAATCATCACAGTTTCTGCATTTAAATCTAGGCCCATTGATAGGAAACATCTGACAGCCATCACACCTGATTTCACAAAAGAACAAGTAAATATATTTCCAGTAGTTTTCATGGTACAAGTTAATTGTAACACAAGTCAAGATAATGGAATCAAGACAATAAGTCTAAAGGATAACCCATATACATGAAGAAAAATGTAAATCATCACTTACGTGACTCCTGGATGAATACTGGGGACCAGTTCCATTTCTGACAACAAGCCAGTCCAATGAGACTGCTGAGGAAAGTCTACAATGACATCTTTTCCATTGGCACTAAAAGCTGTGACAAAACAAGCAGAAAATACAATGTGTTGCAAATCTCTATAAAGTTAAATAAAGTGTCCAGTGCAACATCAGCAGAAACACCTAATAAAAAGTTACTTTCAAAAGTTATCTTTTATTTTAATAGAACTGTATATTAATCTAATCAGACAGCTTGGAAATAGGTAGAGTGAATGGGAGTTCTAAAGATTTTTTTTAGAGATATACATTATTGTATTTAAATTCCTTGACTCTTAATTTTTCTCTTTTTTTTTTTTTCCCCAAGAGTTTCAAAATGGAAAGAGTACTTCTAAGCACAAATACGACAAAAATCTGTACCTCTTCAAAGAATCTATACCCAACGGATTACTTCTACAGCATCCCTTACATCTTGACACTAGCACACCCCAGTTTTTCCTCACTTCCATATGAAGTCTTCAAGTTAGATTTAAGTCTTAAAGGAAAACCACTTGTGGTTCATCCAAAGTATAAAAGAGAACTATAACAGGAAGCTGCACAGATCCTTAAAAAGCTTTACTACACGTGAATAGAGTGGCTCAAAAAGCAGACAAATACACTAACAAAAGGGACTGCCACATAGTATGTGTATATAAATTCATCACAGACACTAAAAGCATTCTATACTCTTATCATCATGCAATATTCCACAAAACAGTGTGATTTGCAAGTGTGTCTAAGATTTTCTCCTTAAACACTGCAGAAAGTCTGTGGTTTCCTGTTTCATTACTTCCCCATGCCCCATCTTGAATATGTTACCTTTGACAACTCCCACACTGCGGTGAGTAACTGATCCCCATTTATATTTGGGTGTGGTAACAGAGCTTTTCACACGCACTTTGTCACCTATCTTGATATGAGAAGCAGAACTCTGCAGTGGAAATCCTAGAAGATTCAAGAATAAATGCACGGTGAGTGGAGATTTCCCCCCCCAAAAAATAAGTCTCCCTTAGTTCACCATTCAGTTTTTTTATTAAAAAACAGTTAGCCATGAACTTACCTAAAAGCTCAACATGGATATATCTAACCCAGTAAGTGCCACCCTTTTGTTGCCAATCACACTGTACGTTCAGGTCATGCAATCCATCTCGATCCAATTTAATAACTTTGCCTACATCCCCTTCACAAACCTCTTCGTAGGTTCTGCAGCACCTAACCATCATCCCCACCTAGGGAAAAAGGACAACAGAATGCCATTGCTATGCAAAGACTTTTGTATCAGAGGGAAAGTAGTTTCAATATAGCTTCTCATCATCATGCTTACCTGAATATTCTCCCTCACATACACAGCATAGTCATCATGACTTAAAAAATCAGCTCGTTTCTTATAGGTCTGGCTCTCTGTTACAACAGCACCACTTGACTGGGAAAAAACAAACAAACAAAAAAACATAACAGTTACAAAATTTGTTTTCAATTCAGATAAATAAAACTGCTAGCAGAGACTGAAGAAAACCCAACAAAAACAAACATATATAATATCCAAGTTTCATGCCAAAACGGGAAAAATCTTCAACAGGTCAACTCACTATAGGGCTAACGTAACACTTATGATCTACTTTAAACTAAAGTTTAGTTTCCAAAATGACTTGCCAAGGAATGTAGCTGCAAGTTTTCAAAATGTGTGAAACAAGCTGCAAGTTGCTTTTGTGAAATCTGCTTGTCAAAGAAAATTAGAATAAAGAGGATTTGCGAGTAATCCACTTAGCCCTGCAGGTACAGGTTCACTTTCCACTTCTTAGGTTACTTATTTGTGGAGAAAACAAAACAAAAACAAACCAACAACAAAAAAAAAAACCAAACCACAGTGGTGAATGGTCATCTCCTACGTGAAGCATACTACTAATGGGATCTAAAGTATTCTCTTCAAAAAACAAGCTGACAAAAAAGATAAGACTGTATTTATCAGAAGTTATTCAAGATTTCATTAAGTTAAAAAAATTAAGAGAACTATTGCATTCCAGCTGTAACGAGAATTTTCATGAAACTGTTCTATTTTGAGCATTACATGTTTTTTCATTCTAGGCAATATATAGCACAGTTTCTCACTGCAATACTGATAAAGATATCAGAATTCAATGCAGAATTAATTTCTTCAAAATATAATACATTTCTTTCAATTACAAAATCCCACGTGTGCCAGAAACTCAACCTAAGTCCTTAATAAATTAAAAAAAAAAAAAAAAACAGAAATACAGAAGCCATTTCATTTTATTGGCAAATCCTTACTGAAACAGTTCCTGAAAGTCAAAAGAAGCCTATTATAAATTCACATTAAAGCCATCATACTCATTAGGCATTGCAAAGGTAATCTTATCACCAGAAGTTAAAATAATTTTCACAAGGAAAAAGCTAAGTTATTTCACTGACTATTGTTTGCCATTTATTCACTAATTCCTCAGTCATTTCTCTAGCTAACATACTCTTGTTTTTCAGATCAAAGGAAGGGAGGTGGGGCGTGGGGGAGGGCAGGCAGGAGTTGAGGGGTGGAAAGAGTCTTTTACAAATATTACATTATAGCACTGACTATTTTAGATTAAACTGAGACCAACTATCAGGGATACCTGTAGCTTTCACCCCTAGTGAAACATCTACCTGCATTCCACTCCTCCCCTGTGGGAAATGAATATCAATTACTCTTGAGTTCTTTTATGACATGCCTTAGAAACATATGGCAAACATTGTTAGTCTTGAAATCTTGTGACAGAAGAATGCCCTTGTACTCTAATCAAGTTCATAAAAGGAAAGAATTACAAAATTCGCAGCCAGCCAGCTCTGACTTAGCTTTATTAAGTTGATAGTTACCACAGGGCAAGCAGCTTCAGCTTCTTCCACCTCCTCTGCTGTTTCCTCATCTGAATATTCATCAGAGACAGTATCAGCATCAGAGAGATCCGTAATTTGAACATCAGGGTGATCTAACAACCAGCCAACCAAGGCTTCCACTCCTAATAGAGAAAACAAACTCTGTCTCTAAGGGTTTCTCTGACATTCTTTGGATAGTATGCAAACAGAGAAGTAACAATTGCTCCCCTGTAAGAAGCATTTTAATCTGCTCACAACTTTCTTTTTCCTTCTAACATCCTTAATTTAACTAAATGAAATACCTGGTAATCCAGAAGCACTTCCAGAGGTTCCAGACAGAGATTTTAGTGCAAATTCTATGTTCTTTCTAGGAAATCCCATTTCCATAAGCTGAACTACAATGGGAAGGGGTGGAATTGGAGATTGCTTGCGTTTCTTCACTTTTGTGGGTCGAATATGTTGCACTGTGACGGGTGTTGTAGCTTCACTAGAGCTGCAGTCTTCAAACACTGGAGTGGAAGGATGTGTAGACTCTACAGCCAGATACTGGCATACTGCCAAAGCAGCAGCCTAAATGAGAACAAATAAATCAGTCCAAGTAAAACAAGCATATTTAGTATGGGGTTTATTGTGTGCGCGTGCCCGAAATTAAAGGTTATTTACCAAAAAGGGCTCAGTGTCACCTTTTTTTTATAAACCTATTGCTTAACAAGTTTCAACTGGAATGTGAATTCAAAAGACTTATTTATTAGGTTTCTTACTAGAAGAAAGCAGACTCTTACCTCAAGCTCTTGTTTGTCAAATATTGCTTTCACAGGTGATGGTTGTGTAGCAGCTGTCAAAAGTTGCTGTAAGAGAATCATGGGAGGCTGAGGTCCTTCAGGAGACATATCTCCTATGTCGGGAGAGGCAACTGCTCCATCCTCTTGAAACAAAAACATTATTTTAACCAAAACCATATAAGGTAAGTCAATCAGGAGATTTACTCTGGGGCCTATTTGTTGATCAACTATATTCTTATTTGATCCATATTTCTTTTCCACAGTAATCATATGTTTAAGATTGGGAAATTTGTAGATAAACAATAATTTTAGTAAAATACAACTAGAATGTGTCTAGCAGAGATCGCTCAGTGAACAGTGGATTTGCACAAGTATCTTATGAGTTTACCTTTTTACAATGAGATTTTTGTACAGAGGTCATTCCAGAACAAACCACTTTATACAGACAACCAACAGTCTCACTGATCGCCAAAAAAATCATAGAATCATAGAATGACCCGG